CCATGTGGGTGCAGGGTCCCACGGCTTTGGCCATCCTCCACTATTCCTCTGCTGTTTTCGCAGGCCACTTGCAGGAAGCTGGATGGGTGTTGCTGTCCCCCAGCGATGGATTTGGTGCACAGACTGATGGTCAAAGCCGAAGTTTATTAGTGGCCTCAGACTGTATACATTGCGGGTTATGTGGGATAAGGGAGGAAGCATTGAGCTCATCAACAAAACCCAGTAACAGTTTCTATGTTGTTGTTTGGAACTCCTTTTGTCTTGTATATTCCACCAAGTGTTCTCACACACATACTGTCCATTCAACTGTTCTTATACAAATGATATCCGATCAGGTATACAAAAGGTAGCCATAAAGTTGTTCTCATGCAAATATTAACCAATCAACTATAATCCTGTGCTTGCTGACCTTCTAGGGTCATAATGTCCTCCTACAGATGGGAAGAGGAGCAGCAGGGACATGAACTGGCACCCATATGGGATCCCACTGTTTGCCAGGTGAGGATTTAGCCATTGTGCCAGCCCACGCTTTTATGAATTTTTAAAAGTACTTCCTTCTGTTTGTTAGTACTTTGACTTTTTTTTTAAAAGATTTATTTATTTGTATTGGAAAGTCAGATTTACAGAGAGATGGAGAGACAGAAGAAATTTGTTTTTTAATTTTTAAAAACATTTTATTACTATTATTATTATCATTTTATGATACAGTTCCATAGGCTCCTGGCGTTTCCCTTATTCCTCTCCCCAATTCCCTCCCCCCGCCTAGTTCCTCTATGTCATTACTAACATATAGTTCTTCTTACATAGTCATATGTCCATCATTGCGGGCATGGACAATGGCTGAGAGTCCAGCATCCTATTGTCAAGATATAGTGAACAGTTTCATTATAAGTCCATTTTTGTCTGGAAGTAGAAATGCATACTACATTGTATCTTCACATCTGGATACTGTACATCCCCTTAAATGAAAAGTCATAATACAAAATCAATAGAAAGAAAAATAGAAATTTAAAGTGCCATGAAGGTAAATGACATGTTACTAGATATGACAGTCTCCATTACACAGCTACTATACATCCCCTTAAATGAAAAGCCTCAAAACAAAATTAAACAGGGAACACTATGAAGTTAAATAACATGCTACTAAATGACTAATGTGTAGCTGAAGAAATGAAAATCAAGAACCTTCTTGAAGAAAATGATGCTACTGTATGATCTATAAGTCATTAAATGATTTAATCAGAAGAAAGTGTTTTGAAGTGATGAAACCAACAGAAAACAACAAAACCCATGTGATATAGTTTTCGCTGATTTTTGTTGGTGAAGTGTGTCTCTTTTAGACAATAGACGGGTTTTGTTTTTAATCCAGTTACAATCAGAGTTTAATATGTATGATTGGTACTTTGGTCCTGTCATTTTAGGAATGGGTTGTTCATTGGTTTAGTCTTCTGTTGTCATTTTACTGGGAAGTTTTTCCCGTTTGCCTTTGGTTTTGGTAGGTGCTATTCCTCTCTGTCAAGAGAACATCTTGAAGTATCATTTGTAGGGCAGGTTTGGAAAAGGCAAATTCTTTTAATTTTACTTTACTGTGGAAGAATTTTATTTCATTTTCAAAGACAAAGGAAAGCTTCGCTGGATATGTTATCCTAGGCTGACAATGTTTTTCTTTTAGAATCTGGAATATGTCACTCCATTCTCTTCTTCCCTGTAGAGTTTCCTGTGAGAGATCCCCTGTGAGTTTAATTGGAATTCCTTTATATGTCAGTTGATTTTTTTCACGTGCACATTTAAGGATCTTTTCCTTATGTTTAGTTGACGAGAGCTTGATGATCATGTGTTGTGGTGAAGATAGCTTTTGGTCAAGCCTGTTGGAAATTCTGTGCCCCTCCAGGATCTTGTTTCCCAATTCTTTCTCTAGATTAGGGAAATTTTCCTTTATTATTTCATTAAATACATTTGCAAACTCAGCTTTTCTTTCTGCACTTGACAGAAGAAGTCTTCCGTCCATTGGTTCACTCCCCAAGTCGTCATTGGAGCTCATTGGAGAGGAGCTGATCCGAAGCCAGGAGCTTCTTCTGGGTCTCCCACATGGGTGCAGGTTCCCAAGGCCTTGGGCCGTTCTCAACTGCTTTCCCAGGCCACAAGCAGGAAGCTGGATGGGAAGTGGTGCAGCTGGAACACAAACTCATGCCAAGTGGGATTCTGGGTCATTTAAGGAGAGGATTTAGCCACTATGCTATTGCACTGGGATTATTATTATTATTATTTTAAGATTTATTTATTTGACAGAACAGCAGAGAAAGAGAGGAGCCGCAGACTTTCTATATGCTGGACTAGGTCAAAATCAGGAGTCGGGAGCTACAGTCTACACTCTCATTTGAGTGTCAGGAAGTTACATCTTTGGGCTTGCCATGTATATTTGTGTGGAGTTTGATAAAAGATGGAGCAGTCGTATGACCCGATGCAATAGCATAGCGGCTAACGTCCTCGCTTGAATTGACCAGGATCCCATATGGGCACCGGTTCTGATTCTGGCCTCCCCGCTTCCCATCCAGCTCCTGGTTTGTGGCCTGGGAAAGTAGTAGAGGATGGCCCAAAGCCTTGGGACCCTGCACCCACGTGGAAGACCCAGAAGAATCTCCTGGCTCCTGGCTTTGGATCAGCTCAGCTCTGGCTGTTGCAGCCACTTGGGGAGTGAACCAGTGGATGGAAGAGTTTCCTCTCTGTCTCTCCTCTCTGCATCTCTGCCTTTCCAATAAAAATAAAGAAATCTTCAAATAAATAAATTAATTTAAAAAAAATGGAGCAGGTACAAGCAATGTGGCAGAGTGGACTAAGGCACTGCCTGCAGTTCCCAGCATTCCTTATGGGTACCAGTTAGAGTCTCTGCTGCTTGACTTTGTATCCAGTGCCCTGCCAATGTGGTTGGCAAAGCTGTGGAAGATGGCTCCTGCCCTCATGTGGGAGTTCTTTGTAGAATTTGCTAGGCTTCTGGCTTCAAGTTGGCCCAGCCCTGGCCGTGGAAGCCATGCTAGGCGTGAACCAGTAGATCGAAAATTTGCTGCTTCCTCTCAATTTCTCTACCTGTATACTTCTGATTTTTAAATGAATATAGTTCTAAACAAAATTAAATCTAATGAAATATAAAATATATATCTCAGAGTTTATATATGTGAAGGAGCTTTAGAATTTTCAAGAAAAATGGACATTGTCTTTTGTTTCCATTTCCATGAGGTTTCAGGGGTACATTTGTACATTTTATATTATTAAATTTGTGTCATATCCTGGCCTCAGGGTAGCTGCTTTTCTCTTCTTTGGCATCTAACTGCCCTTTCTTATCATATACTCTTGAACTGTTAGAGCCAGAGAAAGGTTGAGAGGTTAGTGTATTTGAGTACCTTGTGTCTGTGAGAGAATAAATTGGTAGTATTCCTTTAAGTATTATTTTCCTATCTAGACTCTGTAATTCTCTTGATTGAAAATAATTTACAAATAAGAATTTTAAAGCCCATCAATTTGTAGAACATGGTATTAGTGGTTGACCTTGTGGCACAGAAGGTTAAGGCTCTGCTTGTGATACTGGCATCCCATATGGACACAGGTTCATGTCTTACCTGTTCCATTTCCTATCTAGTTTTCTGTCAATGGCCTGGGAAACGTGAGATAATGACCCAAGTGCTTTGACCCCTGTCCTGCACCCAGGTGGGAGACACAGATGAAGCCTCTGTCTTCAGTGTGATCTGGTCCTGTCTGTTGTGATCATTTGGGAAGTGAACAAGTGGATGGAAGACTTGCTCCTTCTTTCTCCCCCTCTCTCTGTAATATTGTTAAATCAAGACAAAAAGAAAATTTCATAGGAAAGCATAAATGTTTTTAATGAGTGTGAAACAACTTTGTGAGTCTGTGTGAGAATTGTAGCTTTACAAATGCATCTTCTCATGTTTGCATAACTGTAGATTAAAGTACTCTGTGTGTGTGTGTGTAGTACACACATAGATACATGTTTATGCAAGCAGATGGTATATCTCAAGATTATTTATTTGAAAGGTAATGTTTATAGGGAGAGAATGGGAAAATTTTCATCTACTAGTTCACTCCTCAGATGGCTGTAACTGAGCTGTGCCAGGCCAAAGCCAGGAACCAGGAGCTTCTTCCAGGTCTCACATGGGGGCTAGGAACTAAGGACTTGAACTCTGCTGCCTTCCCAGATGCATCATTAGTGAACTGGATCAGTAATGGAGTAGCCAGATTTGAACCTGTGCCCATATGGGATGGTATGTCAGCACTTCAGGTAGCGGCTTTATCTGGAATGCCACAGTGACAGTCCCTCATATCAAGATACTGGGTGGCAGTGTCGCAAGTGGTAGCTTTACTTGCTATGCTACAGTATGTTTCTTGGAGTGGCCACCATAGGAACGAGGACTTCTCTGTCTCAAGTACTGGAGAAAGAGTAGGGGAGAGGTTAGAAAAGATTAGTAAATCTAGTGAATTGATACTACCTTATGTCTTATTTCATGATGTGTTATTGGGTCAGGACTAGTACTAGAGGTTAAAGATAATAAGAAACTTATCTGTGAAGCCTGGATTCATACATTGCTTCATGTATCTGATTAAATACACAATGGCACATTGGGAAAATGTTAGGGCCAGTACTTGAAAGAGTCATCTAATGTGGGGAAGGCCTCTTGTCAGAGGTTAGACATTATCTGGGTTAGAGAGAGGGTGAGAAATAGAGAGGGAAAACTTTCATCTGCCTTGTACACTCCTCCAGTGCCTGCAATGGCCAGGGCTGGGCCAGGCTGAAGCTGGAAGCCAGGAGCTTCAACCAGGTCTCCCATGTGGGTGGTGAGCTTTTCCAGTGTCAGTCCCTATACCTTTTTATTTCTACATGATCAAAACAAGCCTGTATCACGTTATTAACATCCTGAAAAATGTTAAGAGAAAAAGAGGAATCAAGTGTCTTGTGTTTGGTTTGCAAAATGATGATCTGTGCTCTTCAGTTCCAGAAAGCTGACTCCGACTTGGATTACATTCAGTACAGGCTGGAATATGAAATCAAGGCTAATCATCCTGAGTCAGCGGGCGAGGTAATGCACAAAATAAAGCCTCTTTGACTGGAAGCCGACAGAAATGTTTTCTGGTAGTATTTCTAATAGCAAATGATAACAATCATAGAAATTATAATAGTAAGTATTAATGAATTGCATCTCACAATGTTGTATTGGAAGCTTAGGTGCTATTTATTAGAGAGATTGTGAAAAGTATGGCTACTTTTTTCCCCTTTAACCTTTATAAAAAAGAATCATTGAGTTCAGAGGCATAGCTCCCTGTGGAAGCCTCTGGAATTCCAGCACAGATTGTATCCACCTATAGACCAGTGGCTCTTCAGCAGGTTGTAGGGGAGAATTTCTAACAGTCATGATATTCTCTGAGCAAAATGATTTATACTATTAAACATTTGAATTATGTGATGTAAACAGCGATTTTATGTAGAATTATGTAATTAGTCTAAATTTAAGTTGATTAGAATTATTAATTGTGTTTATACATGTAACAGCATAGCTAGAATGTACATGGATAGTAGGATAACAGGAAATAATCTGCAGGCACCATCTGTTAATATTAATTTACCAATTAAATCATTAATATTTCTCTTTGCTGACAGCAGAGTGGAAATATCATAGTTCAGTTTTTCAAATAATTGCATATAACTAAATGGTTTCAATTGGGTAAATGTATGAATTGATGTAGTCAAATTTTAGAGAAAATTGGGGGAAAGTCAATAAAATTTCAGTTTTTTGCTGTTTATTCAGGAAATTTCAGGGTGAGTATATGAATATATTTTGAACTGCTTTAGTTCCCTTTTGGTCTTGTTATCTGTTTTTGTTTGTTTAATAGTTATTTATTTGTGTGTGTGTGTGTGTGCGCGTGTGTGTTTTATTTTGAATTATATGGTACAATTCCATAGGGTTTGGGATTTCCCCCTCCCCATATTTCCACCGCCTGACTGATTTTCCTCATATTATTACAATAGTATAGTCCTGTGTGTGATTTTTACAAAAAAGATGTATTATTTGTATTGAAAGATGGAGCCACAGAGAGAAAAGGAGAGACAGAGAGAGAGAGAGATGCTTCATCCACTGGTTCACTCCCCAGATGACCATAGCAGCTGGAGCTGAGTTGAGATGAGCCTAAGCCAAGAGCCAGAGCTTCTTCCAGGTCTCTCACATGCTTTCAGGGGTCCAAGGAATTAGGGCTCCCTTGCTGCATTCCCAGGCCATCAGCAGGGAGCTGGGTTTGAAGTAGAGCTACCAGGACTCAAGCCTGTGCCCATATGGGATGCTGGCACTGCAGGTGGGGGCTTCATCAGCTTCACACAGCACTGGCCCCAAAATATAAGTTTTCTTTTTAACTTTTTCCATTTTTTATTATATTTTTGGCAATCTTTACACAGTTAATTAGGGTAAAGATGGTCAACGGCTGCAGGAAAGTGGGTAAGACTATAATTTCCACATTGTTTCCTTCATGTATCTGAGGAAAAAGGGGTTTTGAGTATAAGTTTTAAAATCTGTCTCTCCTTTTTTGTGCTATGTTTACAAATAAAACAATCATTTTAGTTGCTGTAAATTTGCACTGTGTTAGTCCTAACAAACACATATGTGTTAAGCAATGTGAAAATAAGAACCATCCAGGTAGCCTCTAGGCTGCTTGGGAGAGTGGTCATCGAAGTAGTAAAAATTAATTGAACATTGGTATATAGTCGCCACCTTGCAGTGTGTGTGGTTATACTGCTACCTAGGTACTACATACATGTAATTTTTTAGGCTGCATTATCCTCATTTTAGAACTGTAGGCAGGCTCATTAATACATATCAATGGGATCAATCCAAATCTTTTATATGTGGATGTTATTAGATAATAGCTAATGTAATAACACTATGTATTTTGGGTAACTGATCCACTATTCTGTCTTAGCCCTTTAAAGCTTTCTGGCTTTTGTTTTATCCTTTCACTTGATTTACTAACATTTGTCCTAGTTTTGAGAGATGATGAAGGAGTTCTTGCCACATTTTCTTCCTCTATGTATTTGATCTCTGACCATTTTACTCTGAGTTCCATTCTTTTTTTTTTGTTTAGATTTATTTATTTTTATTGGAAAGTCAGATATAAAGAGAAGAGACAGAGGAAGATCTTCCATCTGATGATTTACTCCCTAAGAAAGCACAACAGCCGATGCTATGCCGATCTGAAGCCAGGATCCTTGACAATAGAATCGAGATCTTATTTTCTTTTTTGTCATCTCTTGTCCTCTGTCACACAGTTTCATAATTAAGTATTCAGTAGAGTCCAACTAAGTGAGCAATATGTTGTATGTATTTTACTTTTAAAAAAAGCTTCTTAAGTTTTCCTTGCCATGATTTCATATATATTAACTTTTATCTGTTATAGAAAAATCCAGTAACACTCTTAAAGGAAATGTCAGTGATCAAGTCTCGATATCAAGCTTTGTTTGCACGCCTTAAACCACTTGCCGCTGAGCAGAAAGAGACCAAAAACCGCATTTGTACTGCAGTGAATAAGACTATGATCGCGATACAACAACTACAAAAGCAAACAGACCTGGAGGTAATGCTTTCAGGTGAAAATCTGGATTTGTCTAGTTTTAAATGTGCTACTTTGAAAGGTAAATCTACAGTAAATGATATTTGGAAACACAACACTAAGTTTGAATGATTGATAGAAATGAGATTTTCTTTTTTTATGATTTATTTATTTGAAAGGCCGAATTACAGAGAGAGTGAGTGAGAAACAGAAAAAGAGAGAGATCTTCCTGGGCCTGGTGTGAAAGCCTGGTTGCAAAAGTTGTTTTGTAAGCGCCAGGATCCCATGTAGGCACCCGTTCGTGTGTCAGTTGCTCCACTTCCCATCCAGCTCCCTGCCTGTGGCCTGGGAAAGCAGTCCAGGACGGCACAAAGCTCTGGGACCCTGCACCCGCGTGGGAGGCCCAGAAGAGGCTCCTAGCTTCGGATTGGCTCAGCACCAGCTGTTGCGGCCACCTGGGGAGGGAATCATCGGATGGAAGATCTTCCTCTCTGTCTCTCCTCCTCTCGGTATATCTGACATGGGTGGCACGTGCCAAAGCACTGAGGCCATCTTCTACTGTTGTCCCAGCACGTTAGCAGAATGCTGGGTTGAAAGTAGAGTAACTTGGACTTGAACTGGCATTCTAATACATGTTCCCCATATCAAATCTTACCAATCAGCAACCTAGCTCACTTTAGCACAATGCCGGTTCCTGCAGTTGTTTTCGACCTCAGATATTAGAAACTGGAAAGTAAAGGTACTACACAGTTCCTTTATAAATAGACCTTTACATTAGGATCCCAAGTTTTCTACCTTAATGATACATTTAAGTATTTGCAAAATTAAGCTTGAAACTTGTACTGAGGGACTATCTTATCATGATAACTCGGGGACAAATGCTGGTGGTGGGGGCGGGAATAAGGGAGAAAGGAGAGAGATGTACTCCTATGCTTGTAAAACTGTGTCATGGAAAACAAGAATATCTAAATTTAATGTAACACAATTGAAAATTGAGTTAGCATCTACTGCTTGGATAAGTGCAGCTATAGATTATTTCCAGCATCATGGAAAGTTTTATTGGACAGCACTGCCCAGGAGCTCCTGATTCTGTAGGTGTGGCGTGCTCCAGATTTGGCAGTCTCTCTAGAGATGACCTATATAGTTAGGCAGATTTGTTGCTAGAGTGCTTTTTGGGTTGTACCTCCTGTTATTTCCCCATATAAGCCTTTGTTTCTGCCTGTCTGTTGGTGTTGTGTGAAGTCCCTTATAACTGCCTTAGTTTCCTTTCTTTTTGCTTTTACTTTTTCCTGCTTTTGGTTGGTACAGTTGGGTGGCTGTTTTCTTAGCATCCACGTACCTTTCCTGCCTACTGCAGTGCTTTTTATTGTTTTTGTTTCAAGATTTATTTTATTTGAAAGGAAGATCTACAGAGAGGAGAGATTCAGAGAAAGAGAGAGAAAGTATTCCCATCTGCTGGTTCATTCCATAAATGGCTGCAACAGCTGGAGCTGAGCCAATCTGAAGCCAACAGCTTCTTCTAGGTCTCCCATGTGCTTGTAGGGGCCCGAAGACTTGAACAATCCTCTGCCTTTTTCCCAGGACGTTCGCAAAGAACTGGATTGGAGAGAACCTTGGGAAGAGAAAGCTGCATTTTTTTTTTCTTTCTGAACATTTTGTGTAGATGTATACCTCGCATTGTTAGAGCCGTCTTGTTTGTTTGAGGGTAAAGTCATTCTTGGGGATAAACAGAGTGGTAAGATGCACAAAACTGAGTTCCTTCTGTCCTTAATGCCGTGGAGTAAGTCAGCCTTGAAATCTGTCTTCTGAACTTTCTGTATAATGATGATAAATTTTATGTATCTTAAAATGTTTCTGTTTGCACCAAAAGCATTTTATTTAAAATTTAGCCCAGCTTGCCAAGTCTTTGAGCAAATTTCAAGACCATTTTTTGTTTACATGTATCTTCAAACATACTTTTAGGATACTTTTTTTTTTTTCGTTAGTCCAATTAAAGTCCGTGAGTAGTTTGATCTCTTGATCTTGTTCAATTTAAGTGCAAGTTCTTTGGAAGCTCAGACATTATTGCCCCTTAGATATGGGTAGTCAAATATGCATTTTTCCCCCTTACCTTTTTAAATTTTTGACATAAAATAGTATAAGCTTATGGAATATTTACTGGTATTATGAAGCCTTAAGGGTCTTGTCATTTGTTTTATAGCTGTCACCACTAACTGAAGAGGAGAAAGCTGCAGCAGAGCAATTCAAGTCTCGCATGCTGGACTCATGAAAACACGGAATGGCTACAGTGAACTTAAATGGAAAAGAGATTCAGTGCAAAGAAATTTAGGAAAATATCTTGTTAACACTTGGCTTCCAGAGGTCAAGCCTGGTGAAAAAGGAGGGTTGGCTTAAGTGTTTGGTTAATGATGGTTTTCAAACAAGATAAAATAAGAGGGACAGGTATATGAATGAAGTACAGCTCAAAAGATGGAATGTGAATAAAGGATTTTAGATACATACACACAAATACATAGTCTTATAATTTCAGGGAAGGGTGCCACTCAACACTATTTTGCATCTGTTTTCTTTTTGCATATTCAGTATAATGTCCTGACCTATCATAAAAAGAAAAGTTTACGTACATTTCAGCTATTCAAAATGTGAATGAGCATGCAATAGAAATTAAAGGATCGAGAAGATGTTTGTGTTAGACATATATATCTCAAAGTATCCATGGGAAATGGAATTAAGAGTTAAATTAATTTTGATATAAAAGTTGACATCCATGCACAGTTTTTTCATAATACACATTTCCATGATTATTTCAAAGTCCCTGCTAGCATACACTGGTATTATCATTTCATATTGAAAATGTGGACTGCATATGTGGTCACATTTTTGCTATGAATGCCAAAATGTGACTCGTGCTCTCCCACAAACCCTAAAGTAATAAACTGGCTTTTCTGTGATGGCCTTTCTTGTGCTTATTTTTCATTGTTCTGCTAATACTCAGCAGTATGAGCTAGCTTTAAACGCTATTTTAGACTGTCCCTCTTGTATTGCAGTAATACATTTGTTCTCCTTTAGCCTACATTAATATAATTATTCTTTCTCTATGAAAGGCTACAAATGCAGCCAGAAGAGCACTTTTCTGCTCCTTGTCAGTTTTTATGTGTGTATATATTTGTCTCCCTTTTAATTTTTAATAACTATTGGCAATGAAGTAGGTAACTGCCTAACATAGGGGACAAATCCTGATAAAAATGAACAGCAATACACATACATGTTTGACTAATATTAGGTGAATAGGAAGGTAAATCTTGATTAATTTATATAATAGATCAAGTTGCCTATAAGTTGTTATTATATGTTCTGGGAAATGCTGAACTTATACTGAAGGTGAGAAGGGTAAAAGGTATTACAGTCCTGTAGTTAGGATTTAATTTTGGAATTATACTTATTTTTTTAAAGATTTATTTATTTTTATTGCAAAGTCAGATATACAGAGAGGAGAGACGGGAAGATTTTCCGTCCGTTGATTTACTCTCCAAGTGGCTGCAACAACCGGGGCTGAGCCAATCTGAATCCAGGAACCAGGAGCTTCCTCAAGGTCTCACAATGTGGTTGCAGGGTCCCAAGGGTTTGGGCTGTCCTCGACTGCTTTCCCAGGTCAAAAGCAGGGAGCTAGATGGGAAGTGGAATAGCCAGGATATGAACTGGCACCCTTATGAGATCCCGGTGCATTCAAGGCAAGGACTTTAGCTACTAGGCCACCGTGTCAGGCCGCTGTTATTTGTTTTTCTAGAAAAAGATTTGTATATTTGAAAAGCAGAGCTGGGAGAGGTTAGGGGTAGAGGATTAGACCGAGGTAGGGAGCTCTTACATCTGCTGGTTAATTCTCGGAATAATTGCAACAGCCATGTCAGCCAGGGCAGAAACTATCTAGATTTCCCACATGGTGGCAGGAGCCCAGTTACCATCTTCCATTGCCTTCCCAATGGCAGGAAGCTGCAGCAGAAGCACAGCTCTGATAGGGGATCCTGGGTGTTACAAGTTGTGGGTTGACCCATTGTGGTACAAAGCTGACCTGAGTTATTAGTGAAGTTCCCTTCATGGCATAGCTCTGGAAGATGATGCTGATTTGAACAAATGTTATTAGCATTCAGAGTTCTGCTTTTAGTCAAAAAAGAAAAAATTATACTGTTTTTTTTCCTTGTATTTCCCTCACAGCTGTCTTCTAAATGACTTCTTAATATAGCCTCTTAAATATTTTTTGTTCTAGGGCCCGGTGCGATAGCACAGTGGTTAAGGTCCTCACCTTGAATTCACTGGGATTCCGTATGGGCGCCAGTTCTAATCCTGGCAGCTCCACTTTCCATCCAGCTCCCTGCTTGTTGCCTGTGAAAGCAGTCCAAAATGGCCCAAAGCCTTGGAACCCTTCACCCATGTGGGAGACCCAGAAAGAAGTTCCTGGCTCCTGGCTTCGGATTGGTGCAGCACCGGTCATTGTGGTCTCTTGGGGAGTGAATCACTAGACAGAAGATCTTGCTCTCTGTCTCTCCTCCCCTCTGTACATCTGCCTTTCCAATAAAAATAAATAAATCTTAAAAAAAAAAAACAAACCCAAACGTTTTTGGTTCTAGGGCTGGGAAGGAGGTGGCTCTGGCATCCTATATGAGTACTAGTTTGTGTTTCAGCTGCTCCACTTCTGATTCAGCTCCCTGTTTTGCACCTGGGGAAGTGTGGAGGATGGCTCAAAGCCCTGGGACCTTCCATCGTGTGGGATACCTGGAAGAAGTTCTTAGCTTCTGATCAGCTCAGCATTTATTTTCATTGGAGAGGCAGATATGGAGAGGAGAGAAAGATCTTGCATCCTCTGGTTTTTCCTGTCTCTGAGGGTGCAGTGGTTCAAGCACTTGGGTCATCTTCCACTGCCTTTTTTTTTTTTTTTTTTAAGATTTACTTTATTTTTATTATAAAGACAGATTTTATAGAGAGGAGAAACAGAAAGATCTTCCATCTGCTGGTTCATTCCCCAAATAGTTGTAATGGCTACAGCTGAGCTGATCTGAAGCCAGGAGACTCTTCTGGGTCCCTACATGGCTGAAGGGTCCCAAAGCTTTGGGCTGTCCTTGACTTTCCCAGGAAACAAGCAGGGAGCTGGATGGGAAGTGGGACCACCAGTGCCGTATAAGATCCCTGCATGTGCAAGGTGAGGATTTAGCCACTAGGCTATTGCACAAGGCCCAATCTTCTGCTTTTTCAGGTGCAAAGCAGGGAGCCGGATGAGAATTGGAGCAACCAGTTTTTAAACAAGTGCCTATAAGGCATGCCAGAACCATAGGTGGAAGCTTTACCTGCTATGCCAGTGTCAGCTCCATATTTTTGTGAATTTTGAAATTATTTTTTTTTAAACAGATTCAAAATAGTTTGTGGATATAATTGTATGAACATAATGATGTTCCTTTCCTCTCTACTTCTTTGGTTCACAAGTCCTTTTCTGTGGTCGTCACAAGTTATTTTTTAAAAAGATTTATCTATTTTTGTTGGAAAGTCTGAAACAGAGAGGGGGAGAGACAGTGAGAAGATCTTCCGTTTGATGATTCACTCCCCAAGTGACCACGATGACCAGAGTTGAGCCGATCCCAAGCCAGGAGCCAGGAGCTTCTTTAGGTCTCCCACACGGATGCAGGGTCCCAAGGCTTTGGGCCATCCTCGACTGCTTTCCCAGGCCACAAGCAGGGAGCTGGATGAAAGCGTGGATTAGAGCTGGCACCCATATGGGATCCTGGCGTGTTCAAGGCCAGGACTTTAGCCACTAGGTTACCGCGCTGGGATCCCCAAAATGATTTTTTTAATTGGAGTAATATAAACTAAACATAAAATTAACTGTTAACTGTTTTAAAGTATAACTGATGCCGTTTTAAATTAGAGAGTTGTGGAACTGTCATTTCCAGGTGATTTCCAGATCATACTTATGGTCTTATTTAATGTTTTAATTTTTTTCTTCCAAGTTTTATTTGAAAAGTAGAGAAACAAAGTGGGTAAGGTCTTCCTTCTTGTGATTCACAGCCTGAATGCAACAGCCAAGGCTGGGCCACCCTGGAACCACGTGGCCACCCCGCGTGGGGTTGACAGCTATCCCAATTTCAGCTGTCCTCTATTGCCTTCCAGGATGTGCACCAGCTGGAAGCTGGTTGCAGAGATCCAGGCATTCCAATCCGCTGCTCCACAAAGCCTCTCTCCCACAAACAATTGTTACAAGTATTTTCAGCTCTAGATTTAGCTTCTTAAATTATATTTTAAATACGGCTCATAGTTTAAAAAAAAAACTTCCTGTTTCAAATGCCTGATGTTAAATGTTTTTCTATATTAATTTTCTACATGCAGAATCTAGGATGGTTTTAAGTCTAATAGTTGCTTGCCACACATCGGAACTGCAGCCAAGAATTTGATGAACAGCTTTTGTCTCTCACACCGTCAGTTACTGCAGTCTACAAGTTTTTTTCTTTGGAAACTGATCCCAATTATAGGGAACCTTAATAGAGTTAATGCCTCTGTGATAGCCCCACGACGACAGCGCAGAAAAGGAAGGGTGAGGTGCGGGGGGTGGGGGGAGAGGGGTCTGACATCTTTGCTCTGTGGAGCAAGTGGGAAACACTTCCCTGTAGGAGGGACAAACCCAGCTCCCCAGCTTCCTTGGCTCCAGAGGGATGAGCGGAAGTCCCAAAGACCTCAGAGCCTGGGCTTCTTCCCAAAGAACGTACCATGAACCACACTTCCTCTGCAACCAGGGCTGCTGAAAATGCGTGCCACTGAGGAACACCTGCTGCAGAATGGCCGCGAACCGTGGTTCAAAACGCGATTTCCCGGGGCCTCCCAGCCTAGATCCCGAGGAGCGTGGCTCCTAAGCCGGCGTGTTGTGCAGGAACACGCCAGCCGGTTCCACCTTTTTGGCGGGCAAAGTTTAAGCGGAGCAGGGCGGAGCGCAGCGCCGGGTTCCCCGCCGCCCGGGAAGCTCGCGCTCTCGCCGCAGCCAAGTCTCGTGGGCGCTCCCCGCACCGCGGGAACCTGCGCCGGCCGCGCTCCCCGCGCATGCGCGCCGCGCCTCCCGCCGCCCTGGTTACCGTTGGCGTTTGAGAGCCGTCTCCAGCGCCTGCCCGGCCTCACACCGGCGCCGCCGGCCTCAGGCGGCTGTTTCACACGCGCGCGCTCGCGTCACGTGGGCCCCGGCTCCTCGCGGTCGCCGGCGGACCGCTGAGCCGGGAGGGAGAAGCTGCGGACACTGCTTGCCCTCCCTCGGCGCCCCGCGGCGGACTCGCAGATCAAAATGGCGAAAGGGGGGTAGCCCGCACCGACCCTGAAGCGATGGGACGCGCAGGTGGGGCGGCTGGCGGGGCCCTCTGACTCGGGCTGCGGGCTTCTTCTCGGCCATTTGAACTGGCGACCCCCGGCCGGCGCCCCGTAGGTCAGACCACGGACTCCGCGGGTCTCCGAGGGCCCGGTCGAGAGCCGGAGGCAATGGATGAACAGAGCGTGGAGGTGAGGGGGCTGTGGAGGGTGGTGGCTCATCTCTCCCCGCCGAGCGAGGAGTGTTTTTCTTTCGGGTCGCCCTGCCCTCCCTCGTCCTCCTTCCGCCTCTGTGCAGACGGATTGGCCCAGCGAAGGACGCGGTGCTCAACCTGCATCTCTTGGGTGCAGGGAATTCGCACTGTTCCGCAGTCAGGTGTTGCGTATCTTTCCGTTTGCAGGGATGTCTTGGCACCCGCGCTCACGTCCACTGGGTATTTGCAGACTACAGCCTGTGCAGGGCAGAACTGCAGTTTCAGCAAATGGGCGTGCCCTGCCTCCACCTGCGGGCGCCTGGGATCCGCACAGCCCTCCTTAGAGTCCTCGTTCCCTCTGAGCCGCGTGTTTCTGCAGGGCTTCATTCCCTGGGTTGCATGAGGATGCACCTGTGCTTTCCCATGTAACTAGTTTTCAAAACAAAGTCTCTACGTCGGATTCTTGTAAGCTGTGATTTTTAGATCTTTGAGATTTATCTGCAGGCTAGGAACTAAATAAAAAGATTGTTAGGTGTACTTGTGTAATCGTCAAGTTTTGAGCCTTTCAAAACCTAACACCGCTCCCGCACTCCCCCCCCCCCCTTTTTTTTGTAAGGGTTACCCGAGTGAATGAGCAGTCAACTTAAAACTCATAAGCCTAATGGTCTTCTGGTCTCGCATCTCGTTGCTTCTATCCTGCAGAGTCACGATTAGACTCAGCTGTCTCCCCAATTCTTAAGCTGAAAAATTGTTAATGTTTAAAAAAAAAAATAAGGCTTAATTCTGGAATGGAGTACAACTAAGTGTTAATGTAAAGCCTATACAATAGCTGTTCATCACTGTATTTTCTTTTTATAATTGTCTTCGATGGACTCCGTTGAGGCTTACAGATAGCACCATTCCTTCTGTTGAACATTTTTCTCCCTGTGAAGTCGTAGAGTTGGCCACCAACATTTTCAGTAGAGCAGAATCTCAGATGAGTAATGCCATTGGCCATAGCGTTGGGACAGAAGTTCAGATTCTTGGATTTTAAATTTGTTTCTCTCTGGGTGAGGGTGCATTGCCATTTGGCATTAGGATGAATACTGGTTGAAAATGTTTTTTCCCCTCTGAATTGTAAAAGTAGTGTATCCTGTTTGAGGGAAATTTCAGAAAAAGTAAAAAGTTAGTTTGTGCCTTTTTTTTTGTCTAACCACACATCATAACATTAAGTCAGTAAATATTTCTAGAGACTGTTATAGTTAACTGTCATAGTTTAATTCATATTTGGGTTGTAGTTGAATTCTTTTATAATTACTATTTCTAATTATTTCAGCATTAAGTCTGTGTTTGTATTTCATATCTTTTCCTTAGAGTACACTTGTCGTGAAACTTAGAAAAAAAGAGGTGCATTTTCCTGGACTTGTTCTGGTATATCCAGGACCTTTACTCCAGGTCCTGATAGGGTTGCTTCTTAATCTTTGTTTAGTAACCTAAGTTGGTAGAGTTTGTGTCCTTTATTTTCAGAGCATTGCTGAGGTTTTCCGATGTTTCATTTGTATGGAGAAATTACGAGATGCACGCCTGTGTCCTCATTGTTCTAAGCTTTGTTGCTTCAGCTGCATAAGGGTAAGTTGTATTTTTTTTTTTAACATGCATTTAAAGTATATAGGATATACTGTGAAGATTAATTGTTTATATTGTTTCTTAGTGTTTTTGAGGTTTATTTATTTGAAAGGCAGGGTTTGTGGCTGGTACCATAGCGTAGTACGGTAAGCCTTGGACTGTGGCAATGGAATCTCATATAGGTTCCAGTTTGAGTCCTGGCTGCTCTGCTAATGATCTCATTCCCTGCTACTGTATCTGGGAAAGCAATAGATGATGCCCCAAGTCTTTAGGTGCCTGCATCTGCGTGGGAGACCAGATAGAGCACCTGGCCTCAGACCATGGCAGCCGTTTATGGAGTGAACCAGTAGAGGAACATCTCTCCCTCTTTCTCTTTGTCTGTTCTCTCTTTGATTTTCAAATAAAAACTAAATAAATCTTGAAAACAAAACAAAATGAGTTACGGGAAGGGAGAGCGCTCTTTCATTGCTGATGAGCTTGCTAAGGGGCCACTGGGGCTCCAGGAACCAGTAGCTTCATCTGGGTCTCTTACATGAGTGATAGGGGCCCAATCACTTGGACCATCTTCCACTACTTTCCCTGGTACATTAGCAGGGAGCTGGATGGAGAGTGGAAAAGCCAGAACATGAATAGTAACTATATGGAATGCCAGTGTGGCAGATGGTGGCTTAGCTTGCATGCCACAGCACCAGCCCTAAAGCTCAATCTTTGTTACACTTTGGCATTCAAACAACAAGATCTGTCTCATTGGGTGGAAATAATGTTAAATGAGTTTGGTTATAAAAATTCTGATATTAAGTACCATCTACTTATAAAATGTTATATTGTTCTGGTTGTTAAAATAGCAGCTAGGGTCTGGTACGATAGCCTAGTGCTTAAATCCTGGCCTTGCATGCACTGGGATCCCATGTAGGCACTGGTTTCTGTCCTAGTTGGTCCACTTCTCTTCCTGCTCCCTACTTGCGGCCTGGGAAAGCGGTAGAGGATAACCTAAAAAACCTTGGGACCCTGCACCCATGTGGGAGACCAGAAAGAGGCCCCTGCCTCCTGGCTTCGGATCGGCTCAGCTCTGGCTGTTGTGGATACTTGGGGAGTGAACCAGTGGACAGAAGATGTTTCTCTTCGTTTTTCCTTCTCTGTAAATCTGCCTTTCCAATAAAAAGAAATAATTCTTTAGAAAAAAAATAGCTACTAATATGGACTGGCACTGTGATGTAGAGGTTAAGTGTGCCATATGGATGCTGGTTAAAATCCTGGCTGTGCCATTTCCTCCCTGCTAATGTGCCTGGTGGGGAACTGGCACGATGGCTCAATGGCTAAGTCCTCGCCTTGCAACCACCAGAGTCCCATATGGGCACCGATTTGTGTCCCAGCTGCTCTGCTTTCCATCTAGCTCTCTGCTTGTGGCCTGGGAAAGCATAGACTATGGCCCAAAGCCTTGAGACCCTGTATCCACATGGGCAGACCTAGAAGAAGCTCCTGACTCCTGGTCTTGGATTTGGAAGCCATGGCTCAGTTACAGTCATTGAGGTCACTTGGGGAGTGAATTCATGGATGGAGGATTTTTCTGTCTCTCCTTCTCTTTGTGAATTTGTCTTTCTAATAAAAATGAATCTTCAGAAAAGAACATCTGGCTGGGATAGCCACAGATGACTCAAGTGCCTGGGCCTCTGCACCCTCATGGAAGATGTGGAAGGAGTTCCTGGTTTCAGCCTGGTTCAGCCCCTGCATTGTAGCCATTTGGGGAGTCAGCCAGTGGTTGGAAGAACTTCCCCTCTTGCTGACTCCATCCCTAACTGTCCTTCAGATAAATAAAACAACAAAAAAGCAACTAATAGGTTGCGTTTATCTTCATCTTATAAACTGATACAGAAATTGACTGCCTTAGTTCTAATTGATTAGGTAGGTGCTAGAGCTTAGATTTTTTTTTAAAAGATTTATTTATTTATTTTTGAAGATTTAGTTATTTTTTACTGCATAGTGTGATATACAGAGAGGACGAGAGACAGGAAGATCCTCCATCTGTTGATTCATTCCCCAAGCGGCCACAATGGCTGGAGCTGAGCTGATCGGGTCATCTGGGTCTCCTATGCTGGTACAGGAACACAGACTTTGGACCATCCTCGATTGACTTCCCAAGTCACAAGTGAGGAACTGGATGGGAAGCAGGGCCAATAGGATTAGAACCGGTGCCCATATGGGATCCTGGCACATGCAAGGCGAGGACCCAAGCCACCAGGTTATCGTGTTGGGCCCAGGATTGATTTTTATTAGGTGGAGTTACAGAGGGAAGGAGAGACAGAGATCTTTCATCCATTGATTCACTCCCTAAATGAACAGAATAGCTAGAGCTGATCTGACCTGAAGTCAGGGGCTTCTTCTGGGTCTCCCAAATGTGTACAGGGTTCCAAGGACTTGGGTCTTCCTGTGCTGCTTTCCCAGGACATAAGCAGGGAGATGGACTGGAAGTGGAGCAGGCAGGACTCAAACAGGACTTGAAGTGGTGTCCATATGGGATGTCAGCACCTCAGGTGGAAGCTTAGCTTACTTTACCATGGTGCCATCTCCTAGAATCTAGATTTTTTTTTTAAAGAATCATGTCTATTGGAAAGGCAGATTTACAGAGAGAAAGAAAGACAGAGAAAGATCTTTTGTCCTCTGGTCACTCCTCAAGTGGCCACAACAGCTGAAACTCAGCTTATCTGAAGCCAGGAGCCAGGAGCTCTCGGTCTCCCACGTGGGTGCAGGGTCCCAAGGCTTTAGGCCATCCTCTGCTGCATTTCTGGGCCACAAGCAGGGAGCTGAATGGAAAGAGGGGCGGCCACTCATTGTTAAGTCTTTTTCCTCCTGTCTTTTAAATACATTCTTATTTTAGTATTTAATTTCATGTACTTGAAAAGCAGGGTGATGTGGACATTGTGGGGAGAAAGGTGAAGAAGAGAGAGAGATTAAGAGATAGCTAGATGTAGAGATAGAGACCTTCTATCCACTGGATCACTGATGAAATTTCCACAAGAGCTAGTTCAAAGTCAGGAGCCTGAACTCCCTTCGGGTCTCCCGGGTGGGTGGCAGGGCCCCAAGCATTTTGGTCCTTGTCTGCGGCCTCTCTCTATGCATTAGCAGGAAACTGGATCAGGGCTCGAATAAGGTACTCTGGTACAGGATGCAGGCATTCCAAGGAGTGGCTCTACCTGCTATACCACATTTATTGAAGGTACCCCGAGGTTTGTAGGATAGCTTTTCTACTTGGGAAATAAGATTTACTTTGGAAACTTATGCTGTCGTTTCTGTGTGTGGTTCCTCAGTGTCTTCCCTCAGCATTGACTTCTCAATGTCTTGCCTGCTTGTGCTTTCAGCGTGTTGAACATTATTCTTATTCTAAGTCTGGCATATTTTTGGGAGGTAGGTGAGAGTGTTCTGTTTACTAATAACAAACTGCACACCTTTCACATGAATGAAAACAGAAAGAACTCCCATTTTCTGGCTCATTCCATTAATGCTTGCAGTGGCCAGAACCAGGCCAAGCCAAAGCTGGAAAAAAAGGAATCCACTTCTGGTTCCCCACGGGGTGACAGGGTTCTAATTACTTGAGTCTTGTTTCCTCAGCTACAGAATCCAGGTGACAAGATGTGCCTTACAAGGTCCAGGAGCATTAGCCTTGTGTTTTCAGCCATATGGATTTGTTTCTAACCTTTCTAGAGCTGTCTTGGTTCTTGAATGCACCGTTCATCTGCTTTTTCATTCAGCAGGTATAAGCTGCTTGTGCAAAGATTTGACTTACCTGTTGAGTTGCAACCAAACATTGATTGTTAGAAATATTTTAGTGCAATGAAGGAGAACAAAACTGAATAGGCTGTTGAGTGAGGACTTTGAAAGGAAATGAGCAATTTAGTAGCTGCTTTGGGCAGTCTGATAAGGTCTTTCTGAAGAGATACATTTGATTAGAAATATTAGTTTAATGTGGGAGTAAGGATATGAATCTAAGGGGGAAGAAAGTTTTACGCACCCATATCAGAAGGGGCAGAGACTCTTGAGACCGAAATGACTTAGTATGTTAAGAAACAAGGGCTTGGCAGGATGGCTCAGTGGCTGAAGTCTCACCTTGCACACACCGGGATCCACTTTCATCTTCCTGCTCATGCACGCTCCAGGAGGCAGCAGATATGCCACCCATGCTTTTGGCTTTAGCACTGCAGAGCTGTTGGGAGGTTTAGAAAGTGAACCAGTAGGTACAGGATTTTTCACTATTTCTTTCCCTCTCAAATAGGTGAGTATATAAATGAACAAATTTTGTGGTGGCCTACTTTTTCAGGGATTTTATGGTAGGTTGCTAAGAAATAAATCATCATGATTTAATCTTGAGGGTGGAGTGACAGTGTCATTATTGTCTTGTGAAGATTAAACTTTCCTGGTGAGAGCCACACAGTCCTAGAATTGCTTTCTATCCTATGAGAAGCTTGATAACTGTTTTTGGGATGAGTTCTCTCCTTTGATGTTTGTTCCCATTTTGATGATAATGAGAGTGCATCATTAGATTACCTGTGATTTCTGTGTGTCTAAAATTAATTTAGGCACTGGAGAGTTGAGCTCATTAAATCTGATTTTTAAGTTTTTGATGTATAGATGAAAGTACTTTTATGCTTACAATGAAAATTGAATTCTTTTACTTCCTTAGCGCTGGCTGACAGAGCAGAGAGCTCAGTGTCCTCATTGCCGGTGAGTCATTTGGTAAGATTGTGACTTTGGTGGCTAGCAGGGTAGTGGGGTCAGAGAGTACCTGGGGTTCACAGGTAAGTGCCCCCTCCCTCCTCTTTGTGACAGTAGTTGAATCAGAAGTAAGCAGCTTATGTAGAAAAAGGTGCGGACTATCTTAATTTAGACTGCTGGAAAATGATTATATTGATATGGTTATGCCACTACCTGTCTTGGAAAATTATTGTGTAACTTCTTACCCTTCCTTTTATAATTCAAAAAAGTTTTTAGTGGTTATGGTTAACAAGACCATTCCACAAGATTAAACATGAAGTAAAATCTCTTCTAATACTCTTGCTTTTTCATAAAATAAGTTTTCCTGAACAAGTCATCAGGTTTGTATCTGTTCTATGCATTTTCTGTAATATGCTGATATGCATGTTTGCTTTTCCATAAAATACAAATGATATACCTTTTAAATGTAGTTTGCTTTTCAAATGTAAAGTATGGTAAATATCCTTGAGGTTGTGTTTACGTATAGTCATTTCAAGAATGTTTGCATGTGTTTGTATGCCTTGGTTTATTTATGCTCACACTGAGAGACATATAGATAGTTTCCACCTTTGCTAATTTTCAAATATTGATGTCATGGTGCCACCTTACACGCTATTTTGTTATTTACTTTGTTTAGGTTAGCGTATGTTCTTATCAGCACTATCAAATAGAACTTTCTGTAATGAAAATGTTCTGTTCCTCAATTATTATGGTAGCTAGTAGCTATATCTGTGGCTGTTGAGTATTTTATACATGTCTGATATAACTGTGATAAGATTTAACTTATTTAATTTTACTTTTTTAAGCATTTAAAAATTGTTTTTGAGTCCGTGATAGAGATGTTCTGTCTGCCAGTTCACCCCTCAGGTGACTGTAACAACCAGGGCTGAGCAAGGAACCAAGACCTGCATCCGAATTTCCCACATCAGTGGCAGAGGTGCAAGCTCTTGGGTCATCGTCTGCTGCCTTCTAAGGAGCGTTAGCAGAGACGGATAGGAAACAGCACAGCCGGGACTCAGACTGCTGCCCAGATGTGGGCTGCTGGTCTCAGGTGGTGGCTTAACTCATGCTACAGCACCAGTCCCCTCATTTCTATATTCAGATATAGCTTATGACAGTTCAGCTTTTGGACAGTTCAGCTTTAGATGAATGAATTAAGGATTCTGTCTGTAATCTGAGTTGTCAGTAATTATTTTGTTCGCTTTAAGAAATAAATTGTAAAGCATTCTCATCGTTTTATCTTATTTTAACAATGTTGTAGTATGAATATGATTGTGAGGTCTGTTTTTAGAAGTGTCTTGGTTTTAGTGAATAAAGTAAGTTAGAACGTTTGTGTGTGGATTTTCTCCCCAGTGCTCCACTCCAGCTGCGAGAACTAGTCAATTGTCGTTGGGCAGAAGAAGTCACTCAGCAGCTTGACACCCTTCAGCTCTGCAGTCTTACCAAACACGAAGAGAACGAAAAGGACAAGTAGGGCCCGTTTTTCTTTTTTAAATCAGTATTTAATAGAATTTACCATGAATTTTAATAGCATTTCCTTTTTATTTCTAAATGAGTAATATGATCTTACTAGCATAATGTTTAACGTTTATTTTGTGTATACATCCTCAGGAGACACAAAAATCCTCTGCTAGACTGAGGATGCAAGGGAAAATGAGATAATCCTTTCTGCTTAACTGTTTAATGGGGACACAATGATAATACACTGTTCCGTTATCTAGGGGGATTGTCAAGGAACAGAGTTTTTTTTTTTTTAAAGATTTATTTATTTTTATTGGAAAGGCAGATATACAGAGAGGAGGAGAGACAGGAAGATCTTCCATCCGATAATTCACTCCCCAAGTGAGCACAACGGCTGGTGCTCCACCTATCTAAAGCCAGGAGCCAGGAACTTCCTCCACGTCTCCCAGGTGGGTGCAGGGTCCCAAAGCTTTGGGCCGTCCTTGACTGCTTTCCCAGGCCACAGGCAGGGAGCTGGATGCGAAGCAGGGCCGCCAGGATTAGAACCGGCAACTATATGGGATCCCCGGGGTGCAAGGCGAGGACTTAAGCACTACACTATTGCGCTGGGCCCTCCCAGGCAGTTTCACAGGGAGCTTGATGAGAAGTAAAGTAGCCACGTCTTGTACTGACATCCATATGGGATACTGGTGCTGTGGCAGCTTTACTCACCACATTACAGTGTGGGCCCATTGTTGGGCTTTTATTAGATCCTGTCATAAAAGGAATGGCTGGACCTACAACATTTTGCTAATGTGCCTATTGGTCCTCTTTGGTTTGCTGAAGATACCTACTGGCTAAGAATTTTTCTGATGAATTTTCTACATTATAAAAACCATGTTATGAATTTGGTGATTTGCAAATCTTGCTAAATGAACTTTCAGACATAATCTAATATACTGCTCTTTTAGTAATTTGTTATTGGAAGTTAAGAATGCTTGAGTCAGAAATCTACAGTATAGATGTACTTTGTCTAAAGTAAATTTCTTTTATAAACATTTTTATTTGTTTGCCTTTCAAATAGACAAAGGGAAATAGACAAAGGGAACTTTCACTTACAGGTTTATTCCCCCATATGTTTACAACAGCCAGGGCTGGAGCGGATAAAAGCCAGGAGCCTTGTCTGCAATCTTAGTCTCCTCCATAGGTAGCAGGAACTTACATACTTGGGCTATAGTGTACATTAACAGGAAGCTGGATTGAGAGGGAAGGAGTCCGGAATCAAACCAGCACTGTGATGGGATGCAGATGTCCAAAGTGGCCACTTAATCACTGCTCCAAAAACCTGGCCCTGAAGCACTTTCTAAAAGATGCAAGTGTGTCTGCTCTGTAGACAAGAGAAAGCGTAATTAAAAAAAAAGTTTTAGTGTTTGCTTTGGCAGCACATATACTAAAAGAAATGCTTTAATATCAGGCCCGGTGGCGTAAAGTAGCTGAAGTCCTTGTCGGGATCCCATATGGACGCCGGTTCTAATCCCGGCAGCTCCACTTCCCATCCAGCTCCCTGCTTGTGGCCTGGGAAAGCAATCGAAGACGGCTCAAAGCTTTGGGACCCTGCACCCGCGTGGGATACCCAGAAGAAGTTCCTGGCTCCTGGCTTCGGAGCGCACAGCACCAGCCGTTGCGCTCACTTGGGGAGTGAATCATCGGATGGAAGATCTTCTTGTCTCTGTCTCTCCTCCTCTCTGTATATCTGACTTTCCAATAAATAAGTAAATCTTAAAAAAAAAAAAAAAGAAATGCTTTAATATGTATAATAGAAAATTTGCTGCTGGACCATTTTTAAGTACAGTTTGTGTTGATTTAGGTCATCCAGTTAAGGATGTCACCAGAACTTTTGGGCTTCAGATCTGAACCTGTATCCATTAAACAAATACAGTTTCTCTACCTACCCATTGTTCACATCCATGACTGTAGTTTCTGGTTTTGTGACTTTGACTGCTCTGGATGCTGTCATAGAGAGAGTGGTACACTTAGCATCTTACTGTCATAGTGCATGCCTGCTGTAACGTGTTAGCGTTTTCTTCCCTTTTTAAGGCTGAATAACATTCCATCATATGTCTACCACAATTTGCTTTTTCCATTCATCTTTCATGGAACATTTGAATTCCTTTTGTTTTTTAGTTTTTGTGAATTAATACTATGTGGACATGAGTGCTTATGTCTTTGAGATGCTACTTTCAGTTCTCTTGGGTACATATCCAGAAGTAGAGTTACAAGGTCATGGGATAGATTGTTTTGGCTTGTTCTCATCTGTTCCACAGTTCATAAGGATTCCACTGTCTCCTCATTCTGGCCAGTATTTGTTGCTTGTCTTTAGATAACTGACATTCTAATGGATGTAAAGACTTGATTTGTGTTTCCCTAATGATTAATGATGACAAATATCCTTTGCTGGTTTGCCATTTGTATGTCCATTTGTATATCCCTTAGGGAAATACTGTATTCAAGTCCTTTGCTCATTTTAAAATCAGGATTTAACTTTAGTTTTTTGTTTGTTTAATTTTTGCTGTGGAGTTCTCTATGGATTATGGATGTTAATCTCTTAACATACACACTGTGCAGTTTTTTTATCTTCCATAGGTTACCTTATTCACCCTGATATGGCCTTCAACGTGCACAAGTTTTTAATTTTTGCATAGTTCAGGTTGTCTGTTTTTTTCTACTGTTTGAGCTTTTGGTGTTATATCCAGGAAGTCACTGTGAAATTCACTGTCATGAATTTTTATGTTTTCCTCTTAGAGTTTTATAGTTTTTGATTTTATACTTAGATTTTTGATCCATTTTAAATTCATTTTTAAAAATATGCTGTAAAGTGAGGGTCTATGTTAGTTGGCTAGAACTGCCATAACATCAGTGATGGGTGGTTTAAATGGTAGACATTTATTATTTCACAGTTCTAGAGGATTTAATTCCAAGATGAAGGTGCTGGTAGGATTGAGTTTTGGAGAGGCCTTGTTTCTTGGTAGATGGCTACGTTTTTATTGGTGTTCACATAGCCTTTGCTGTGTGCATGTACAGTCTTGATGCCTTTTCCTCTCTCAAGAGCACTTACACTGTTAGATTAGGCTCCACCTTATGACCCCCTTGAACCTCCTCGAATAGGCCCCATTTCCTATGTAGTGTCACATTACATTACTGGGTGTGGCTTCCTCTTGGGGGTATTTTTTTTTTTTGGACTGGGGGTGAGAGACACTGAATTCTGTCAACTAGAGTCCAACTTAATGGCTTGCATGTAGATACCCAGCATAGGAGAAAACTTAAGCTTGAGTTGTTCATTTGCCGTGAAGATCTGGTATTCTGTTGTGCATTGGTTACTGTTATTGTTTTCATTTGTGTGTGCACCCATGCTCAGCAGGTATCTGCACATAATCAGCCTGTGATGAAGCACTTGTTTAATCAATGGCATGATAAAATGTACTTGTAATGATACTAAGATTGGTTTATATTAATATTTGTATCTTATATCTAAATAAATCTATATTTTGTATGGTTTGTAAGGTATACATTAATGAAACTAGTACTTTAGAAAGTTCTGTGCACATGAAATTATTTAGATTAAATCATAGGCATAGAATACCTTCTAGATTCTGTTTCTTAGACATCTTCACTTACAGCTAACTGATCTGTTTTCCCAAGCCTAGAAGTTTGTTGCAATAATTGTTTCAATTTTAATGTATAACTGTCTTGTTTTCATAATGTGTAGGTGTGAAAATCACCATGAGAAACTTAGTGTGTTTTGCTGGACTTGTAAGAAATGTATCTGCCATCAGTGTGCACTTTGGGGAGGAATGGTGAGCAGCACAAAATTCAGTATATTGTTTTTAGTTAATATATACTTTTAGTTAGAAGGCATTGAATACATATTGGGTTTGGGTAGAAAATAGTGTCAGTTTACTTTTTGAGAATGATGATAGAAATGCATCTGCCTTTTCAAAGGTATTGTATGTTAATCCACAAGAACCTCTTTGATGTGATTGTTTGATGTACAATATAAACCTCTTATATAAGTATTTTAATTTATAAAATGCATATTCACTTTCAGACTTTATGTTGTAAGGTCAAGGTCTTTGATTTGGCTAAAGGTCTTTTGATCTTTTGATACACTGCCATAATTTCTAGTTTTGGCCTTTTTTGGAAGTAGAACAAGAAGATAGACACTTTTGAAGCAGTATTTGAGTGTAAGTCTTTATTGGGATTTTTTTCCTACTTTTTAGTTGCTTTTTTTCAAGCCAGTTTACCTTTAATACATCTAAAGCATTTAAGTTAGTATTCTGAGACTCATTTCTTTTAAAGATTTATTTTATTTGAAAGTCAGATATACAGAGAAAAAGAGAGACAAAGAGGAAAATCTTCTAGCCATTGAAGAATCATCATTTTATTTGTCAGTTATGTGCTGTTATAAAAATTATTTACTTATACTGATGGCTGGAATTGATATAAATAGGTTCTGAGTAGACTTAGATCATTAATGAGGAGAACAATTGATAATGAATGTAGAACTGGATATATGTCTAAAATTTGCCTATATTTAAATAACCATAAGACCTAATTGTTCTGTGGGTATCAGTCACGATGTTTTACAGAGAGAATTCGCAGGCTGAGGTAGGTACGTGCAGCTTGGTACAGAGAATTTTTCTTACAACTTGAGTACTCATATTGACCAGAAAGAATTAAGTTCTTACAGTTAAAACCTTAAATCGGTTGGCTCTTGGAAGAGGCAGTTGACACAATCCTTTCCATTTTTTAAGGGAACGTCTTTTTTATCTTGGACATCATTATGGGGTACTTTGGATAGAAAAGACTATTCTAATAATTATCTACTATAACAATTTTGTTATAATAAGAGCTTTATCCATTCAGAATTTCAAATTACAATACTAAAATTGGATAGCAAATTGTCTTTTGGTTTATAGAATGAGAAATCAATCTTTGAGCCCAATGCACTGGATTTGCAAAGTTCATTTCTCTACAGTAACGCTTTGTGGATTAGAAGTGGGTTTGTTGTTCTGGCTAATGAAAGACAGAGAAAAATCTTCCATCCACTGGGTCACTTGTCAAGTAGTCACAACAGCCAAAGCTGAGCTGATCAGAAGCCATGGGCTTCTTGGTCTCCCACACCAGTGCAGGATCCTAAGGGTTTGGGCCATACTCTGCTGCTTTCCCAGACTACAAGCAGGGAGTTGGATGGGAATTGGTGTAGCCAGGATGAATTAACCAGCACCCATGCGGGATCCTGGTGCTTACAGAGGCAAGATTAGATAGTTGAGTCATCATGCCCTGATGTGATAAATTTTAGCAATAAGAGCTATGAGAGTGCATAACTATGGAAGCTGACTCTGTAATACTGAGCTAAGCTACAAAGAATGAATAGAAAGCATGTGTGAAAGAACATGAAGGATAATTACTTTTAAATAAAACAAAATAACTTTTGCAGCATTCTGGTGGAAAGAAGTTTGAGGACATGAAAGAAAGCTAGTGTTTAAGGATGAATACTCAGCTAATAAGGTTACAAAATGGTTTGTGCTGTGATTTGAGGATTTTGTGCTTTTCTCCTGATGAGTATCATTAGGAAGAAATTTTAAGAAGTTCTTGCATGGGCCAAGAGAATTTAAGCAAAAATTTATTTGAAAATATTTAGCATTTTGTTAGTGCTTCTTGTGTTGAAAAGTAAGATAAATGCAGCTAAGAGATATGAAAATGTTCTATAACTGTTGTTATTAATTTGAATAGCATGGTGGCCATACCTTTAAACCTTTGGCAGAAATTTATGAGCAGCATGTCACCAAAGTGAATGAAGAGGTAGCCAAGCTTCGTCGGCGGCTGATGGAACTGATCAGCTTAGTTCAAGAAGTGGTAAGACTAATATTACAAGATAATTATCCTGTTTATATTCTATAACATATGTACATTTTTAACATATAAGTTGATTAGATTTTTTTTAAAAGATTTATGTATTTTTATTGCAAAGTCAGATATACAGAGAGAAGGAGAGACAGAGAGGAAGAACTTCCGTCCGATGACTCACTCCCCAAGTGACCACAATGGCCGGTGCTGTGCCGATTATCCAAAGCCAGCAGCCAGGAACTTTCTCCAGGTCTTCCACCTGGGTGCAGGGTCCCAAAGCTTTGGCCCATCCTCTGCTGCTTTCCCAGGCCACAAGCAGGGAGCTGGATGGGAAGTGGGGCTGCCGGGATTAGAACCGGCGTCCACATGGGATCCCGGGCGTTCAAGGTGAGAATTTTAGCCATTAGGACACCATGCTGGGCCCAAGTTGATTATGTTTTAAAATCTAGAAATTCGGGCCCGGTGCCATGGCGCAAGTGGTTAAAGGTCCTTGCCTTGCACGCCCGGGATCCCATATGGGCGCCGGTTCTAATCCCAGCAGCCCCGCTTCCCTTCCAGCTCCCTGCCTGTGGCCTGGGAAAGCAGTCAAGGACGGCCCAAAAGCTTTGGGAACCTGCACCTGCGTGGGAGACCCGGAAGAGGCTCCTGGCTTCGGATCGGCATTGTATCGGCCCGTTGCGGCTGCCTGGGGAGTGAATCATCGGATGGAAGATCTTCCTCTCTGTCTCTCCTCTCTGTATATCCGCCTTTCCAATGAAAAAATAATAAAAATAAATCTTTAAAAAAAAATAAAAATAAAAAAATTGTTTTGTTTTTAAGATTTTTTTTTTGCAAAGGCAGCAGAGAGAAGGAGACACAGAGAGAAAGCTGGTTCACTCTGCACAAGTGGTTGTGGCCAGAGCTGAGCTGCAGCCAGGTACTTTCCTGGGTCTCCCATGTGGGTGTAGCAGCCCAAGGCTTTGGACCATCCTCCATTGCTTTTTCAGCTGTAAGCAGTGAGCTGGATGGGAAGTGGAGTGGATGGGATAGAAGTGGTGTCCATATGGGATTCTGGCATGTGCAAGGGAAGTATTAACCAATTCAGCCATTGTGCCGGGCCCTACAGACCATTTCTAACTTAAGAATAGATGTTATGTTTTGAGAATTCCTTTAGGAATCAAATTTTAAATCATTTATGGCATACTTGTACAAAAAATCATGTTATTTTCTTTGTTTTTAAGATTCAATTTATTGTTGTTATTTTTTCTTTTCTTTTTTGCCTTTTGTCTTCTAGGAAAGAAATGTGGAAGCTGTAAGAAATGCAAAAGACGAACGTGTTCGGGAAATTAGGAATTCGGTTGAGATGATGATTGCAAGGTTAGACACACAGCTGAAGAACAAGCTTATCACACTGATGGGTGAGTGCTGAGGGGTTCAGGTGCTTTGAATCTCCTTTGGAGTTTGATATTGAAGGAGTGAAACTTGATGAGATGCTACAGACACCGGGAATTTTTAGATTTTAGGCTACTACATGTTAGGATCTGGTCATGGGATTGAAGCACATTGAAGCAGCAGGTATTTTTTTTTTTAAAGATTTATTTTATTTTATTTTTATTGGGAAGGCAGATATACAGAGAGGAGAGACAGAAAGGAAGATCTTCCATCCAATGATTCACTCCCCAGGCAGCCGCAACGGCTGATACTATGCCGATCCGAAGCCAGGAGCCTCTTCCAGGTCTCCCATGCGGGTGCAGGGTCCCAAAGCTTTGGGCCGTCCTCGGCTGCTTTCCTGGTCCACAGGCAGGGAGCTGGATGGGAAGTGCGGCTGCTGGGATTAGAACCGGCGCCCATATGGGATCCCGGGTGTGCAAGGCGAGGACCTTAACCACTGCGCCACCGCGCTGGGCCTGAAGTAGAAGTTTTTTACTCAGTTTAATCAGAATCCCTACCAGTAATGTTCCATTTCTTTTATTACATTTTTATTGAAGATGCAAAACTTAATACTTGAGAATATCAGGTGGCCACAACAGATAGAGCTGAGCTGATCTAGAGCCAGGAACCAGCCAGGAACCAGGAGCTTCTTCTGGGTCTTCCGTGCGTGTGCAGGGTCCCAAAGCTTTGGATAGTTTACTACTGCTTTTTTGGGCCACAAGCAGGGAGCTGAATGGGAGGTGGAGCAGTTGGGACATGAAATGGTGCCTATATGGGATTCCGGTGCATGCATAGTGAGAATTTAGCCACTGATTCATTGCGCTGGGCCCAGTATATGTATTCTTTATTTAGAAGGCAGAGAGATATATACAAATAGAAATATCTCCATTTTTCAGTCTATTTTTTTTTTAAGATTATTTTTATCGGAAAGGCGGATATACAGAGAGGAGAGAAAGAGAGGAAGATCTTCCGTCCAGTGATTCACTCCCCAAGTGAGCGCAACGGTCGATGCTATGCCGATCCGAAGCCAGGAGCCTCTTCCTGGTCTCCCATGCGGGTGCAGGGTCCCAAAGCTTTGGGCCGTCCTCGACTGCTTTCCCGGGCCACAGGCCGGGAGCTGGATGGGAAGTGGAGCTGCCGGGATAGAACCGGCGCCCATATGGGATCCCGGGCGTGCAAGGCGAGGACCTTAACCACTGTGCCACCGCGCCGGGCCCCAGTCTATTTGTTAATACCCTGGCATCCAGATCAAATCCTGCATCTCATCCCAGGTCTCTTGCAAGTACTTGAGCTGTAACTTGCTGTCTCTCAGCACGTTCATTAGCAGAAAGCTGGAGTGGGAAGCGCAGCTGGGACTCAAATCCAGGCACCCTGATTTGGTTTCCCTGCATCTTAACTAGCATATTAATTGGTGTAACCAAACACTCATCCTGAAGATAGCTTTTGTAATTAAATGAAATATTTTCAGGGCTAGAGTTTTTGTTGAATTGTTATCATCACCTTATTTAGTATTATGAGGAACTTTATCTTTTATGTATATTGTAATTTCTGCCACTAATATTGAAGCTTAATCAAGTGTGATAGTGTGGTGATAGGGCAATATCCGATCATTAGATATGGGATGTAATGAAGGTAGAAATTACTGTGGTAGTTCTAGATAGCAGATTGTTTATCTCTTCTCCCACGTTTCTCTTTGGAAGCAAGAACTTTTTTATTTCAAAAATAAAAGTTATACCTGTTACATCTTTAACAAGTAGTACGGGGCCCGGCGCGGTGGCGCAAGTGGTTAAAGGTCCTCGCCTTGCACGCCCGGGATACCATATGGGCGCCGGTTCTAATCCCGGCAGCCCCGCTTCCCTTCCACCTCCCTGCCTGTGGAGCAGGAAAGCAGCAGAGGACAGCCCAAAGCTTTGGGACCCTGCACCCGCATGGGAGACTCGGAAGAGGCTCCTGGCTTCGGATCGGCATAGTATCGGCCCGTTGCGCTCACTTGGGGAGTGAATCATTGGATGGAAGATCTTCCTCTCTGTCTCTCCTCTCTGTATATCCGCCTTTCCAATGAAAAAATAATAAAAAATAAATCTTTAAAAAAAAACAAAACAAAACAAGTAGTACAGATTAATTTAACTTCTAACCTCATGGAATACATAAGTATTCAGAATGTGATTTTGGAAAAACAATCATAAATTAGCAAGAATGCCTAATTTTTTCTTGTTGTTTGAAAATATGCAAGATTTCTTTCCTCCTTTTCTGTATTAATCTTTTTGATAATGATTTCTTTATTCCTTTATGTTTCCAGATTTTTAAGGCCATTTGTCTCTGGGCTTGTTTGTTTGTTTGAATAGATTTTTCTATGCATAAAGATATTTTTGCTGACATTTAAAAAAAACATCTGATCCATTAACTACATACCTCTTTAAAGTAAAAAAAAAATTTGGAGGACAAGTTATTCCAGAATAACTGCATGAATTTCGTGTTACTTTTAAAGAAGATTTATTTATTTATTTGAAAGGCAGAGTTAAAGAGGGATCTTCCACCTGCCAGTTCACTCCCCAGATGGCTCCAGTGGCCAGGCTGGGCTTGTCTGAAGCTGGGAGCAAGGAGCTTCCTCTGGGACTCTTGGGTACAGGGACCGAGGCCTTGGGCTGTCGTCTACAGCTTTCCCAGCTTTTCATTAGCAGGGAGCTAGAGCTGAAGTGAAGCATCTGGGACTCATATGAAACACTGACACTTCAGGTGACGACTTTATGCACAGCACCAGCACATTTTCCTAAGGGAAAATGAGGATCTAGAAAGGTAATTGTTTCACTTGACATGTGGCATGTGCCATGCATTTCTTAGATGAATTTGGTGGTTTTGTCTAAATGTAATTTGTTGGTTCTGAAACTCTTCAGAAGTACTGTTCCGTTTTGTTAGACTCAGCCTCTTTAATCTTTAGGGAAATCATTGGATAGCTGTAGTGAGGAATTTTTGTTATTGAATATGTTCGTTGGAGGGGCTGGCACTGTGGTGCCATGGGTTAAACTGCTGTCCGCAGCACCGACAACCCCTATGGATGCAGATTTGAGTCATAGTGGTTTGATTTCGTTCCCATCTTCCTCCTAATGCACTTGGGAAAGCAGCAAAGATGACCCAAGTGTTTGATCCTCTGTACTCATTTGGGAGACACAGATGCATTTTCTGGCTCCTGGCTTTGCTGGCCCAGGTCTTACCCTTCTGGCAGTTGAGGAGTAAACCAGCAAACAAAAGATTCTCTCTCTGCAACTCTGTCTTTCAAAAAAAAAAAAAAAGCAAGCAAGCAAGAAAGAAAATGGTTAGTGAAAGTTAATTAAGTCTATAATGAGTATGTGTGTTATTGTTTTGTTATTTTTAAACAGGTCAGAAGACATCTTTAACTCAAGAAACAGAACTGCTAGAATCCTTACTTCAGGAAGTAGAACACCAGGTAATGAAATATTAAATGTAATGAAATAATATGTATTTGTCAAAATGTTTTAGAAGTATTTTTCCCCTCACCAGAATATCTGAATGAGATCAATGAGATTTTCTTTGCTATTGAGAAGTTTTATGAAATAAGAATTAATTGTTTCTTCATATTTGAGAATTAAGTAAGATTGATTCTTTCTTGCAAGAATAGAATTGTATTTATTGGGAATAACCGATAGAAATCTGTGAGTCTATAAAAGGTTAAAATCTTCCTGGGTGGCTTTGAGGTTGACTGTTGTTACTAGTCACCTGAATACAGTGATTCTCATGTTAAAATTTAGCATTTTTATTTGTTGAGGATCTATTAAGTGGCAAATAACAGGCATTGTTTTTGGTGTTTGGAATATAGGGAACACAAAATGGCTAAGATAATACCATTGAGAGCCTGGTGCGTGTGGGTGCTAGAACCAAAGGATTTGGGCCATCTTTAACTGCTTTCCCAGCACATAAACAGGGAACTGGATTCAAAGTGAAGTACTTGGGCCCGGCGTGGTCACCTATCAGTCAAAGTCCTTGCCTTGCCTGTTCCGGGATCCCATGCGGGCACTGGTTCTAATCCTGACAGCTCCACTTCCCATTCAGCTCCCTGCTTGTGGCCTGGGAAAGCAGTCAAGGATGTCCCAAAGCCTTGGGATCCTGCACCCATGTGGGAGACCTGTAAGAGGCTCCTGGCTCCTGGCTTTGGATCAGCTCAGCTCCTGCTCTTTCGGCCACTTGGGGAGTGAACGAACAGGTAAAATATGTTCCTCTTTGTCTCCTCCTCTCTGTATATCTCACTTTACAATAAAAAAACAAAATCTTAAAAAAAAAATTGAAAGTAAAATAGTCAGGACTCAAACTACTATACAACAATGCTGACCCCCTATTTTAGTTCTTAATATGGTGAATTATATTACCTACAACAAAAAAACCTAATCTTGTACTTTAGGACTCAGATTTCCAGCTTATATTTATTTATTGCCTTTTCATTATATTGCTGGATTCAATTAATTTGAATTTTGTTTGGGATTTTAATATCCTTGTGTATGAGAGTATTAAGCTGTGGTTCTCCCCTTTCTCCTGGAAATACTTTCATTTTGGCTTTGATATCAGAGTAATTCTAGCCTCAAAGAATATATACTAAAGTATTTTGCCTTCAGTTTTCTAGAATAAATTGAGTAACATTGGTGATTTTTCCTTAAGTATTTAAATTCACCAGTGGTGCTTTGTTTTGTTTGTATAGTAGTTTTAACTACAAATTAAATTTCTTTAATAAATATAGGCTTCTGAATTTATGTCGTTTCCTCATAAGTGAGCTTTGACAATTTGTATCTTTGAAGGAATTACTACTACATTTCATCTGAACTGCTGCATTGTATGCTAATGAATGCATAAATATTTATTTATGCTAACCAATGTTATATTAATAGTATATTTCTTAATATGGTTGAAACATTAGTGAAATCGGTAATGCTATTATTTATGTTCTAATAATGCTAATTTTGGTTGTGCTTCCCCCCCCCCAACCCCCCCCCGGGCCAATCTTGGTAGAGTTTAGTCACTTTCTTGATTTTAAAGATATAGATTCTGGATATGTTTTGATTGTTTTCCCTTTCATTGATTTTTCAGGACTGATTGAATTTTTTCCTTTGGTTATTTGAATTTTTTCCTTTGGTTATTCCAGGAATATGATATACTGGTTAAAATTCTTTATGAAATATGTTCTGCTATTATTATGTGGAATGTTTTATGTTTCAGTGATGAAGTTGATTGATGCTATTTAAGTTTACCCTATCTTTTCACTATAAGCACCCTAGTCAAAAAATCTGAAATCCAAAATGCTCTAAAGTCTGAAACTTTTTGAATCCTAATATGACAAGTGGAAATTTCCACAACTGACTATGTGTGACAGAGTTAAGTCAAAACACAGGCATACCAAAAATAGCATGAATGTGCATAAGGTGTAAATCAAGCATAAATTAATGTTGTGTTCATTATTCATATACATATTCCTTTTAAATGCTTCTAATCCAAGGCATTTTGATGATAGAATACACAACCTGTACTCTTAGCACATTTTATAAGGAAGATTTTGAAACCCTTGTTATTGGTTTCTCTCTTTTGACAACCTGTTAGTTGATTCATTCGTTTAGAGGGTATTGTATTAGAGACATAAACGTCTTGCCTTGTTAAGCTCCATCGGTCCCCCATTATCATTAAGAAATGACTTTTTTTTTTAAAGACTTATTTATTTATTGGAAAGTCAGATATACAGAAAGAAGGAGAGACAGAGAGGAAGATCTTCCATCCGATGATTCACTCCCCAGGTGACTGCAATGGCTGGTGCTGCACCAATCCGAAGCCAGGAGCCAGGAACCTCCTCCAGGTCTCCCACACAGGTGCAGGGTTCCAAGGCCTTGAGCCATCCTCTCCTGCTTTCCCAGGCCACAAGCAGGGAGCTGGATGGGATTCAGGGCCTCCGGGATTAGAACCAGCGCCCATATGGAATCCTGGCGCCATCCAGTTCAAGACTAGGACTTTAGCCACCAGACCAATGCACTGGGCCCAGAAGTATAAAATTGTAAAAAAATCATAGTCATAGTGATCTGGAGAGAATTCATAAGCTGGTGGCTGCAACTAACTGGAGAAAATATTTTTGAAAAACTTCAGAATTTTTTTCTGAACCATCTGTATAGAGCTGAGTGTTCGCTGAAGCATTAATGCGGCTTAGGATCTCCAGATCCTGTGGTGAAAAGCCTGAGTTCCAGTCCTAGCTGCGTTTTTGAACCCAGAACTTTGGAGGCTAATGAGTGATGACCCAGGCATCTGGATTCTTGCAACCTCCATTGGAAAGTGTTTCTGGAAAAACAGAGAAGATGGCTCAAATGCATAGGCCTGCACCCATGTGGAGTTCCTAGCTCCTGGTTTGAAATTGGCCTAGACCCAGACGTTGGAGCCATTTGGGAAGTGAACCGTTGCATGGAAAAACTGTCTTTGCCTAATTCTAATTCTAATTCTAATTCTACTGCTAATTCTGCTTCTAATGCTACTGCTAAATAATAAATTTGTTTAAATGAAATATTGTGGATTACAATGATTCTTGGATGGATGTATGTTTTGTTACATGATATGTTTGAAATGGGATGTATCCCATTACTACCATAATCTGTTGAAGTTTTTTTAGCACCTAAAATAAAGCTGAATTTAATAATCCGTGTCTTGTTGCAGTTTATAAACTATAATATAATACCTAATGGAAAATTCCGTGTTGTCAAGAAGTAGTTTTCCAAGTATTAATCTACAGGTGCAATTCAATCTTAATTCAATCTTAATTCAATCTTAATTTCAGTGAATTCTGTGAATTTGCTGAAATTCCAATATGAAAGAGCAAGGGGTTCTTTTTTTTTTTTTAAGATTTATTTTTATTGGAAAGGCAGATATACAGAGAGGAAGTTCTTTCGTCTGATGATTCACTCCCTAAGCAGCCGCAACGGCTGGAGCTGAGCCAATCCGAAGCCAGGAACCTCTTCCAGGTCTCCCACGGGGCTGCCAGGATTAGAACCAGCGCCCATATGGGATCCCGGGCATGCAAGGCGAGGACCTTAACCACTGCGCCCTCGCACCAGGCCCCTGAACAAGGGGTTCTTTGCACAACAAAGTACAAAGAGCTGTTGTCAGATCAGATTTCAAAGTGTAGAATAAAATCATAACAACATGAACAGTGATTTTGGCACCCAGACTAGTAGAAAAGCAGAACAGAATCACAAGTTTCTTGGTGGGCCTGCCAGTAGCCTAGTGGCTAAAGTCTTTGCCATGCACATGCCAGGATTCCATACGGGCACTGGTTCTGATCTCGGAGGCCCCGAATCCCATCCAGCTCCCTGCTTGTGGCCTTGGGAAAACAGGAGAGGACGGCCCAAAGCCTTGGACCCTGCATGCGCCTGGGAGACCTGGAAGAGGTTCCTGGCTCCTGGCTTTGGATTGATGCAGCACTGGCCATTGCGGTCACTTGGAGAGTGAATCATCGGATGGAAGATCTTTCTCTCTGTCTCTCCTCTCTATATCTGACTTTGCAATCAAAATAAATAAATCTTTAAAAAAAAATTAATGGTGGCTATGACCAGGGCTGGACCAGGCCAGAGCCAGAAGCCTCTTCCCTGTCTCCCATATGCTTGCCTGAGACCAAATATTTGGGCTGTCCTTCACCGCTTTCCTTGGCACATTAGTAGGGAGCTGGATTAGAAATAAAGCAGCTGCCCATATGGGTTGCGAGCATTGCAAGTGGCAGTGTAGCTTTGCTATAGCACAGTGCTGGCCCTGTCAGTAGTCTTAACTATCATGGCTGTTAGACCAAACTTCTCTAGTGTTGCCATTGGGATAACTTATGAAAACAGTGTTTTCTGTTTTTATATAGGATAATATATGTATAATATATAATATATGTAGTGGCTTGGGGAATAAGTCAATGGATGGAGGATCTTCCTCTCTGTCTCTCCTCCTCTCTGTGTATCTGCCTTTCCAATAAAAATAAATCTTTTTTTAAAAAAGAATGCAGTGTAAGAAATACTTTTAAAGGCTTTATATGATTTATTCATTTGTATACATAGGATCTTCACTGTACCAATATAAAAGTGTGTACATAAAGATTTGCTTATTTATTTGAAAGGCAAAATTACAGAGAATGAGACACAGAGATAGAGATCTTCCATCTGCTGGTTCATTCCCCACATGGCTACAATGGCTGGAGATGAGCCGGTTCAAAACCAGGAGCCAGGATGACCTCTGAGTCTCATGCATGATACAGGAGCCCAAGGCTTTGGGCCATTCTTTATTGCTTTCCCAGCCCATTATCTGGGAGCTGAGTTAGAAGTAGAGCAGTCAGGACTTGAACCAGTCCTATATGCTATGTCAGTGCTTCAGATAGTAAGCTTACTTATAGAGCCGCAGCACCAGCTCTAGAAAGCTTAAAATTTGATTCTAATATATGAGAAAAATAGAATGAAGTTTGGTGTTTACTTATTTGGATGGCAGAAATAGTAGGGGAGACAAAGTAACAGGGAGAATCTTATATCTGGTATTTCAATCCTCAAATGGCTGCAATAGCCAGTGTTAGGTCAGTCCGAAGTCAAGGGGCTTGGTCAGGGTCTTCCATGCTGCTGTCCCAGGCACATTTCCAGGCAGTGGATAAGAAGTGGACTAGCCAGGACTAGAATAGGCCCCAAATCAAGTTTATTTATTCAGTGACTTTATTGTTTGATTTCCTGTAGATTCTTAATTCTTAAATCAACTTTAAATAATTTTTATCTCATTTTTTTAAAGATATGAAAATTATTTCCAATTTGCTTTTTTATGAAGAATTTTGGGGTGCCAGAGAATAACAATTTTATTTATTCAGATGATGCTTTTTCCTCATACAGTTGCGGTCTTGTAGTAAGAGCGAGTTAATATCCAAGAGCTCAGAGATCCTCATGATGTTTCAGCAAGTTCATCGAAAGCCCATGGCATCATTTGTTACCACTCCTGTTCCACCAGATTTTACCAGGTATGACACCTGTACAATTAGAAATTGCAGTGTTATAGCTAAACACATGTCACTACTTGGCCACATTTGAAGACAATACTGAGAAGATTCTCTAGAGCTCTGATGAGAAGTATTATTCAATATTAATTGCCTTGATCTTGATTGGAAAGTTAGGTTTGCCAAAAAAAAAGATCTTCATCTGCTGATTCACTCTCCAAGTGGCCATACTGGTCAGAGCTGAGCAAATCCAAAGCCAGGAGGCAGGACCTTGTTCCAGGTCTCCCACATGGGTTTAGGGTGCCAAGGCTTTGAGCCATCCTCGACTGCTTTCCCTTGTCACAAGCAGGGAGCTGGATGGGAAGTGGGAAAACTGGGACAGGAACCAGTGCCCATATGAGATCCTGGCGCCTGCAAGATGAGTTTTGAACCATTGCGCCAGGCCTACTGCCTTTAGTATTTAAACCTGTTTATATTTATTTTATGATTCAAATTCCTGATCCAAGCATCGATTTCTTATGTTTTCCTGTTTCCATGAGTGCTTATTGTGTTAGTCTCATGTATTTTATAAAATACTTGTGGGGTCTTCATTTTAATTGTACACTTTTGATAGATATGTGAATTCATCTGATTTGTCAAGCACAACCTTTAAAGAATTTTTTGAGTGCTCGTTTAATAGTGTTTTCAAGAGATGATGTAAAAATATTTGTAAACTGAAATTTTAAACTTAATCTTAATGTCATATTTTTCTCTTTTTGCTTTTTAGTGAATTGGTGCCATCTTATGATTCAGCTACTTTTGTTTTAGAGAATTTCAGGTAAGAGCTTTGGCAGTTCTTTTTGGTTTGTATACTCATAATAAAGAGCTAGAGAAGCATCATTTCTCAGCAGAATAGAGATTTGATGTATTGTGTCACTTAGTCTATTTAGTAAAGAAAGTTTACTGCTAAGCTGTAGAGGTTGCCTGCGTCATACAGGGAAGTAAGTATGTGTTAATTGTTTGAAGTTAAAATCATTTACAATTTTGTATTTTGTAATTTTTGGAAATACTTAATATTTTAGGGATGGGAGCTACGTCCAAATATTAGATTCATGCTGATTCATACATATCTTACACATCGAAGTATTTTAATGTGATATATGTAATAAATGTGTGAGATCATCTATTTGTCAAGTTAAGTTGATGCTCAAAACATTTCTGATTTTGGAACAACTTGTGTTTTCTTTCTTTTTCTTTCTTTCTTTCTTTTCTTTTTTAAGATTTATTTATTTATTGGAAAGTCAGATATACAGAGAGGAGAGACAGAGAGGAAGATCTTCCGTCTGATGATTCACTCCCCAAGTGAGCACAACGGTCGATCTATGCCAATCTGAAGCCAGGATCCAGGAACTTCTTTCCAGGTCTCCCACGCGGGTGCAGGGTCCCAAAGCTTTGGGCCGTCCTCGACTGCTTTCCCAGGCCACAAGCAGGGAGCTGGATGGGAAGTGGAGCTGCCGGGATTAGAACCGGTGCCCATATGGGATCCTGGGTGTTCAAGGAGAGAACTTTAGCCACTAGGCCACGCCGCCTGGCCCGTTTCTTTTTCTTTTAATTTGCATTTATTTTAAGAAAGAGGGAGTTTCTATCCATTGATTCAGTCCCTCTGTGGCCACAATTACTATAATTTTGTCTCTCTCATATAAGGATTTCCTTAAATATTTTAAGATTTAGCAGACATTCTGTTGGTTTGCTTGTTGAAACATTGAAAAAGAACAATAAGGGACCAGCACCATGGTGTAACACACAGTGCCTCAGCCCTGGGTGCTGGCATTATATATGAGTGCTGGTTTGAGTCCTGGTTGCTGCATTTCTGATCCAACTCTATGCTAATACCCTGAAAAAGCAGCAGAGGATGACTCAAGGCTTAGAGCGCCTGTACCTATCTGGGGAGTGAACCAGCAGATAAAAGATCTCTCTTTTTCTATAACTGTTTTATATACACAAATCCTTAATTAGAAAAAGATAATTATATTACAGAGAAAGAAAATCAATATATATTATTTTTTATTATCTTTTTAATGTAATAGACTTTATTGATGCAGTGATTAAGTTCATGATACTTAGTACTGCTTTTCCCTGAAAGGGCACAATTTTGTGTTTTTTTTTTTAATAGAAATGCAAAGAAAAATCTTTAGTATCTTTACAGTTTATTTCAGAATTTAAACGTATACAAACTTATGCAGTGAAATCTTACTTGAAGAGCATTAAGTGTATGATAGAATTTCAAATGCATAGCATAAAGGATGAAGTTGCTTTTTGTTTTTGCCAGTTACTGTTTCTGAATGGTCTTCACCTTGGCGTTTGTTGGTTTTCCTTCTCTTTAGCACTTTACGTCAGAGAGCAGATCCTGTTTACAGTCCACCTCTTCAAGTGTCAGGACTCTGCTGGAGGCTAAAAGTTTACCCTGTAAGCCTTGTGTGTTTCTGATACATTTTTGAACCAAGGGCTGCGTTTGAGGGTTTCATGGAACATTAGTTCACTTTCTAACGAAGTAAAGAAATGAAGCTAATGGCAGTTGCACATTTTCTATCAGGTTTATTGGTAAATCTATGAAAAATCCAGCTAAATCGGAACCTTGACATAGCATTGTTTCCTTTGCTATATTAGTAAATTTTGTTTCATAATTATTTTAGAAGAAATGTTTACAATTCTTTTGAAACTCTTGAAAAATACAATGAAAACCGTCAAAAAGATTAATCAACTGATTGCGTTCTCAGATGCATGTCAGTGTGATGCTTAGCTGTGTGTATTCCTTAAATTGCACTTGCAGGAAGCTGGATTGGAAGCAGAGTACTTGGAACTCTGACTTGGCACTTCCATAGGGATATAGGACTGAACTGCTGCAGTAATTGCCCATCCTGTCTGGTTTTTCATGACAGGAGGAGTTTATGTTTTTATATACATTTTGTCTTTCCGTGCTGGCTCCTGAAGCATTTGTTAAGATATTAGCCTATGTGACAATGTTAGTAGTTAGTGTCTTATGTGCTAAATGGTGCTAAGTGGTTCTAGGATTACTTTATATATTTCCTTCCCCAGACCCAGATTTTTTTTTTAAGTATTGAAGCAATTTAATGAAGATTTGTTCATCTGATTATTTCAGGTTGGCATCTCAAGAGAAAACTTTCTTATTGGAAAGGCAGATTTATAGAGAAGGAAAAAACAAAGGCAGATTTCCATTTGCTGGTTCATTCCCCAAGTGGCCACAATGGCTGCAGCTTCACCAATCCCAAGTCAGGAGCCAGGAGCTTCTTCTGGGTCTCCCACATGGGTTCAGGGTACCAAAGCTTTGGGCCATCCTCGACTGCTTTCCCAGGCCACAAGCAGGGAGCTGGATGGGAAGTGGAGCAGCTGGGACATGAACCAGTGCCCATATGGGATCCTGCCTTTGCAAGGGAGGAATTAGACCTTTGATACTGATACTCTTTGCATCTAAATTTCTACCCTACGCAACCATACAGAAGGCCCAATAAAACTGTCCAATCAGGATATGACTTCTGATTGTAAATGAAGAAAGGCATCAAAGACATTGCACAGAAAGAAGCAGTGTGAATATGGAAGGCATAGGGCCAGGGAGTAACAGCAGCCAGGATTTCCATGATCAAATGCTGGGCCAGAATTCCAACCCTCTTTGGCCTGGTTTGACCCATTTTTCATTGTCTGACCTCATTCGAGAAATGGCAAATGGTTTTCTTTTTTTTTTTTTTTTAAAGATTTATTTTTATTATTTTTTTTTATTGGAAAGGCAGATATACAGAGAGGAGAGACAGAGAGGAAGATCTTCCATCCGATGATTCACTCCCCAAGTGAGCGCAACGGGCCGATGCTATGCCGATCCGAAGCCAGGAGCCTCTTCCGGGTCTCCCACGCGGGTGCAGGGTCCCAAAGCCTTGGGCCGTCCTCGACTGCTTTCCCAGGCCACAGGCAGGGAGCTGGAAGGGAAGCGGGGCTGCCGGGATTAGAACCGGCGCCCATATGGGATCCCGGGCGTGCAAGGCAAGGACCTTTAACCACTTGCGCCACTGCGCCGGGCCCCGGCAAATGGTTTTCTATCTGTCTGGTTTGATTAACCCAGAGAACCAGCCTGTGCTTGGAGCATGTCGCTGAGATCTTCTGGGATAGCAGTTTGTATATCCAACTGCCTGCCTGTTCATAAAAAAGGGGGTTTAACAACCCTAGGTCTGGGGTCCTAGGCCTAACAGCTCTTAACTGGACAAAAGCTGTTTCTTGCGTCTTCCCAAAGAGGTGGACTTTGTTCCGTTTGTACTTTTGAGAGCCTGATGTGCAGAGCCTGTTCAAAGGAACTTTGTTATTTCCTATACCTAGGGATCTATAATTTGTTAGCTAGAGAGATGCCAAAGAAGTATTTCTAGTGCAGATATGAAGTGTTACTCTTTATTTTGTTTCATTATGCCTCACTTTTTGCATTTAAATTAGTTTTAATTGCATTTTTTTTTTTTTTAGGATGGAAATGGAGTTGTGCGTGGTTACTACTTGTCTGTGTTTCTGGAACTCTCAGCCGGATTGCCTGAAACTTCAAAGTAAGTGACATATATAATTGAACAACAAACTTGAAGTACTTTTACTTTACATTTTTACTGGCAATTTTTGTTGGTTAATTTGTTCATTAATGTATTTTATGTCTATCGAGATATGGTATGGAATCCTTGATGAAACATGATGATATAGACTTGCAGATTTTAAAACTGGTCTCAGGACCCTTTACTAGAAACCCCAAAAGGATTTTCTATATATGAGCTGTATCTTATTTTCTGAATTAGAAAGCAGTTTGTTCGCTTCAAAAATCATAAGTGTATTGCATATTTTTTTGTTATTCTGCTTTTCTAAAATAAAAGTATTTGTTGAAACTTGGTTTACATTTTTGAAATCTGTGTTATGTCTGGTTCAAAAGAAAACCGTTGCATTCTAATATATTTTACATCTAATTTCTTGCAATAAGTTGCTTTGGTTGAAATATATATAAAATCTTTCTTCATTGGTTTTGAGTATTATGTTATTTGGAAAAAATTATTATTATTATGTTACAGTTCCATATGCGCTTGGATTTCCCTTGCCCCTTACCCAAGTCTCTTCCTCGCCACTGAGTTCCCTTATAAAATTACTGTCGTGTAGTTCTTCATAAACAGTCATATGTCCATCATTGCAGGCATGGATAATGGCAGAGTCCAGTATCCTACTGTCAAGATATAGTTAAGAGACTCATTGGGAGTCCATCTTGTTATGGAAGTAGAGATGCATACTGCATTGTGTCCTCACATCTGGATATGATAGTCTCCATTATACAGTTACCATACATGCCTTTAAATGAAAAGCACAATACAAAATCAACAACAGGAAGATAAGTAGAAATTTACAAAGCTATGAAGTTAAATAACATGCTACTATATATGATAATCTCCATTTCACAGTTACTATACATCCCCTAAATGAAAAGCCACAAAACAAAATCAACAATAGTAAGGAAAGAAGAAATTAAAAACACCGTGAAGTTAAGTAACATGCTACTGAATGGCTAATATATTGCTGAAGAAATAAAGAAAATCAAGAACCTTTTTTTTTTTTTTTTTTAAGAACCTTCTTGAAGAAAATGATGCTTCTGTATGATCTGAGTCAGTGAAGAATTTTGGGAAACAAAGTGTTTTGAAGAGATGAAACTAACAAAAAAAAAATCAAACCCCATGAGATATAATTTCCCCTGAACTTTGTTGGTGAGATATGTCTCCTGTAGGCAATAAATAGATGGGTTTTGTTATTTTAATCCAGTCTACTAATCTGACATTTGATTGATGAGTTTAAGCCATTTATTTACATTCAGGTTTAATATGAATGGGTGATAATTTGGTCCTGTCATTTTATCAATGGGTTGTTCATTGATTTAGTCTTCTGTTGTCATTTTTTTGGGATGTTCTTCACATTTGATTTGGTTTGGTTTTATTGGGCACTGTTCCTCTTCTCTGTCAAGAGAACATCTTTAAATATCTTTTGTAGGGCAGGTTTGGAAGAGGCATTTTCTTTTAACTTTTCTTTACTGTGGAAGAATTTCATTTCATTTTCAAAGACAAAAGAAAACTTTGCTGGGTACGTTGTCCTTGGCTGACAATTTTTTTAAAAATCTGGAACATGTCACTTCATTCTCTTCTGACCTATAGACATTCCTGTGAGAGGTCTCCTGCGAATTCAATTTGCATTCCTTTATATGTCAATTGAATTTTTTTCACGTGCACATTTAAGAATCTTTTTCTTATGTTCAATTGAAGAGAGCTTGATTATCATTTGTCGTGGTTAAGATAGCTTTTGGTCAAGCCTGTTGGAAATTCTGTGCTCCTCCAGGATCTTGTTTCCCAATTCTTTCTCTAGATTAGGAAACTTTCCCCTTATTATTTCCTTAAGTACTTTTTTTTTGAGATTTATTTTATTTTTATCGGAAATTCAGATACACAGAGGAGGAGAGACAGAGAGGAAAATCTTCTGTCCAATGGTTCACTCCCCAAGTGACCACAACAGTAGGAGCTGAGCCAGTCCAAAGCCAGGAGCCAGGAGCTCTTCCGGGTCTCCCAGAAGGATGCAGGGTCCCAAGTATTTGGGCCATCCTCAACTGCTTTCCCAGGCCACAAGCAGGAAGCTGGATGGGAATCTGGGCTGCCGGGATTGAAACCGATGCCCATGTGGGATCCTTGCACGTTCGAGTCGAGGGCCTTAGCTGCTAGACCACGCCGCTGGTCCCATGATAATCATTTTAAAATGTTCTTTTGGCTTGGAAATTTAGAGAAACCAAAGATACAACATATTCAAAGTAAACTGATATAAATTGAACTGGATAAGATGGATAAGAAATTGGGTATTGCAAAGAAAAAATAATGAACTTAAAAGCAAAGCAGTAGAAATTATTCAAAATGACATGTAAGAATTCCAAAATGGTGGAATAATTTCAGACAGCTTAATATATGAGTGAGATAACTGAAATCTCTGAGAAGAAATATTTGAAGAAATGGTAAACTATCTGAATTTGATGAAAATTTTAAACCAACCAATATGGGGAATTTATTTTGCTACAAGTACATGAAACATGAATAACCACTGCCTCCCCACCACAGCTGAAATCAGAATCAGATTTCTAAAGATTAGTGTTCAACAGAATTTTTTAAAAAAGATTTATTTATTTTATTGGAAAGGCAGATATACAGAGGGTAGAAGAGACAGAGAGGAAGATCTTCCATCTGATGGTTCACTCCCCAAGTGACCACAATAGCCGGTGCTGCAACCAATCCATAGCCAGGAGCCAGGAACTTCTTTCCAGGTCTCCCAAATGGGTGCAGTGTCCCAAGGATTTGGACTGTCCTCAACTGCCCTCCCAGGCCACAAGCAGTGAGCTGGATGGGAAAGAGGAGCTGCTGGGAGGAGACCTGTGTGGGAGACCTTGTGTCTAAGAGAGGGAGACACAGAGGTATTCTATCCACTGGTTCACTCCCTAAATAGCTGCAGTGACCAGAGCTGGACTGATTCAAAGGTGAGAGCCAGGAGCTACTTCAGTGTCTCCTACATAGGTTCAAGGGCCCAAAGCCTTGTGCCATCCTTTACTACTTTCCCAGGCCATCAGCAGGGAGCTGGATTGGAAGTGGAGCAGACTCGAACCACACTACACGTGGAGGTTTCACTTACTAATCCACTGTGCCAGCAGTAAATAATTTTTTAAAGTGTTCTATATCATAGGATTAATTGGAATATATTGGTTTTCCCACTGTGCACCTGTTTGCCATTAGAAGGTTTATTTAGCCTTAAAAATCTGTGTACACAATAAGTTATTTTATTATAGTTTGATTTCAAAAAGAGTGTTTGAAAGCATTTTAAAATTGCAAGGTGGTTAAATTCAAAGGTTATTAGAAATGACAAAATAGTCATGTATCAGAAAAATTTAAGTAATGAATGCATGGAAAATATACATGCTGGCTCAGTTGGATAATTGTCCACCCACAAGTGATAGTAGCTCTAACGGATACTTGTTCTTGTCCCAACTGCTCCACTTCCAATCCAGCTCCCTGTCTATGATCTAAGGAAGCAGTGGAGGATGGCCCAAGACCTTGGAACCCTGCGTCTGTGTCGGAGACCCCAAAGGGGCCCCTGGCTCCTGTCTTCGGATCAGCTCAGCCATGGCCGTTGCAGCTATTTGGAGAGTGAACCAGTAGCTGGAAGATATTTCTCTTTGTCTCCTCTTTGTAAATCTACTTTTCCAATGAAAAAAAAAAAAGCAGAAAATATGCAGTATTTGTAAGGCAGATTGGAGTAGCCTTAAAGTACTTGCTTATACAAAATGCTTTATACCTGGTATACTGGTAAACATTTTAACAAGAAGCATAAGGTGTGATGTTGGTCTTGCTTTGGCATTCACGTTATTGCTGGTTTTGTAAGAAATAAAATCTTTTTGAAAGAAATGTGGCCTTATGCTGATGCCTTTCTGCTCAGGTAACTACTTGATGACTCAATGTTTAGATGAGCCTATCTTATTTTTACTATGTTCATGTTCTGTTTCTCCATTTAGATATGAATATCGCGTGGAGATGGTTCACCAGTCTTGCAATGATCCTACCAAAAATATCATTAGAGAATTTGCGTCTGATTTTGAAGTTGGAGAATGCTGGGGCTATAATAGATTTTTTCGTTTGGACTTACTTGCAAATGAAGGATACCTGAATCGACAAAATGATACAGTGATACTAAGGTAATTAGAAATACTTGGTACTGGGCTTTTGTTATGAGGGAATAATACCACAGATCTTTATGTCAGTGTATTCATTGAATAAAAATGAATATTGAACTCCACATTGGCTATACCCCCACCACTTTCTTGACTGTTACATTTTAGGAGTCCTATTCAGTCAGTGAGTAATAAAAATCAGAAATTTGTTCCACATTTCATAGTAATTCCATTAAAAATGAAATCCACCAGAAGTGGAGCATCATCAGTCATAAAATTGAATACAGAATGCTCCAAAATATGACAAGTGGAATATACCATGCCTGACCTAATATATCACAAGCCCATCAAAAGTGTTTTACATTACCTTCTTGATGTGCATATAAAGTACATATGAAACAAATTAATTTTATGCTGTGACCTAAGTCCTGTTTCCAGTTATCTCTGCATATATATCCGAATGTTACAACATTGAAATAATCTAAAATTTTCAATCACAGGCATTTCAGATAAAGATTACCCATTTTACACTTCTAGTGTATGTAATAATGTCTCGGTTATCTATTGTGTAATTTTGTCATTTGAATAGTGAAGGATTTAAATTTTTTCTTTTTTTTTTTTTGGTTTATGTATGACATATGGGTGAGAAGCTTTACAAGCTTGATTTTAATGTGATTCAGTTCTTTCTAGATAATACTGCATTAAAAGTAAAGAGAAATGAAATAATCCTGTTATCTACCAGAAAGAACAGAACATAAACACTGGCTGAGAGACAGCAGCCTTACTCGATACGGGAATAGCTTTACAAACAGGGGTTGTATGATGTAATTACTTGATTAAAATGAGGACTACAGTCTTTAACAAGGGAATTCAACACTTGATTGTGGCAAAAAGGCTGAGAAGCAATAAAAACAAGAAATTCAAATGTACTCTGAGCTGAGAAGTTTTAGGTTGACATTTGTTATCAAAACAATTTTTGAAGTGTTTTTCCTTTTTGGGGGAGGAATTGCCTAATATGTTCCTAAATGATACTCATTTCAAGCTTTTTGTTTCTACATATGTTGGATAAATGATTTGTTCTCATTTAAACCTTTACTGTTAAAATGTTTTTTAAAGCTTTTTCGGGAAAATAAAGAAGCGAAAGCATAACATTTAGTGAAATACAGTGCTTAACCTCGGAAAAATTCATGTTGTCACTTTCTTTTCGGGATTTTACCTTACTTGGTTCTACTTGTTTGGAAGGCAGAAAGAGAGAGAGCTTCCACTTTTGCACTCCCCAAGTGTCCACCAGAACTGAGGCTGGGCAGCTGAAATCTAGTAGCAAGAAACTCAATCAGAATCTCCCCGTGTAAATGGCAGGTTCTTAAGTACTGAAAGTGTTGCTTGGTGCTTCCCGGAATGCACATCAGCAGGAACCTAGAGTCAGGGCCAGCGCTCGGACTAGGCCCTTTGATGTAGGAGGTATGTGTTGCAAGCAGAACTCTTAACTGGTAGGCCAAATACCTACTCCTCAGGGGTTTTGTTTGTCTTTTGATTACTCAAGAGGAATAATTTGTTGCTAATGCATGCTTTAGCAATAGAGAGGATTTCAGAATTACATATTTGCCATCCTACAAAAGAGCTGGGTTTTTTGTGGTTGTTTGTTTGTTTTAAGATTTGTTTAATTTATTATTTATTTTTATTGGAAAGTCAGGCTTACCGAGAGGAGGAGAGACGGTGAGAAAATCTTCTATCTGCTGGTTCACTCCCCAAGTGACTGCAACGGTCAGAGTTGAGCCGCTCTGAAACTAGGAGCCAGAGCCCCCTCTGAGTCTCCCACACGGGTGCAGGGTCCCAAAGCTTTGGGCAGTCCTCAGCTGCTTTCCCAGGCCCCAAGTAGGGAGCTGAAAGGGAAGTCGGCAGTCAGAATATGAACCAGTGCTTATGTGGGATTCCCGCATATGTAAGACAAAGGACTTCAGCCATTTTTTTTTAAATTAGTTTGTTTATTTGTTTGCAGCCTGCCACAGAGAGAATTGGAGAGGACATGATATCTGCCATCTGGTGATTCATTTCCCAAATGGCTGCCCAGCCAGGAGCCAGGAGTCCCATCTGGGTCTTCTGTCTTCCCAGGTGCGTTAGTGGAAAGCTGGATCAGAAGCACAAGACCTAGGGCTTGAACCATTGCTTGGATTCACAAGCAGTGGCTTAATTTTCTGTGCCATGACAGTGATTCTTTTAGTGCTCTGTAGAATTTATAGCTGTGTTTTCAGGGTGAGTTGGCAGTATTTTGCTGGTGGGATTATTTTTTTATGCAGAGCTGTTGTTTTAAGATTTCAGGTACGTTCACCAACTTTTTTTCAAAAATGCCGGGACCAACATTGGTATATCACTCAATTGGAAAGTGCGCAAACAAGTTACATACAACAGATAAACAATCTTAAAGAGGTAAGGAAATAACAAATTTCTTACTTTTGTGGGGAGTGTTGTATTTTGATTAGACTTGGGATATTTATCACTGTGTGTAGTGTTATAGAATGAAATCCGCTCATCCTTTTCCCATCCTTACCGCATAAGAGCCTCTAGTTCCACACTGTCCAGGAGAGTAAATCCTGGCTGCAGATGTCTGTGCAAAGTCAACTGAAGTTTGCGGATGTTCCCTAAGGGCAGTGGCCACATTTTATGAGCTTTTGTTATTGTACAGTGCAGATATGCAATGTTTTTCTCCTCACATAAAGTTGTATTACACAGCAGCACTGTAGTCTGAGGTCATTTCTGTTTTGTTTCAGTGATTCAACTAATTCTCTTTTGCAAGGGAAATATGAGTTAAAACATTTATTTTCCTGTGAAGTGTAATTTTTAAAACTTGCTGACCACATATTTCTGATTGTATCTGTAGCTTAGAATGGATATGAAAGAAGGATCAGAATGAATAGCACAATTTGTTTTATCAGATTGTTCTCAAACATTAGGTAGGAGAAATGGTATATTGTGACTTACATCTGTACTATTCTTGTTTTAAAAGAGACTTACCATTGAACTGTCTCGAACTCAGAAATCAAGAGATTTGTCACCACCAGATAATCATCTTAGCCCCCAAAATGATGACACTCCTGAGGCTCGAGCTAAGAAGTCTGGCTCATGCTCTGACATGCTTCTCGAAGGTGGCTCCACTGCAGTTTGTATAAGAGAGGCCAAAGAGGATGAAGAGGATGAGGAGAAGATTCACAATGAAGATTATCATGTAATAATTAGGCCAGTGTGAATTTGATTTTTTTGTTTGTTTGTTTGATAAGAGACAAAATAGGATCACAATTTCTTTTTTTTTTTTTAAGATTTGTTAATTTTTTTTTTTTAAGATTTATTTTATTATTTTTTTATTGGAAAGGCGGATATACAGAGAGGAGAGACAGAGAGGAAGATCTTCTGTCCAATGATTCACTCCCCAAGTGAGCGCAACGGGCCGATACTATGCCGATCCGAAGCCAGGAACCTCTTCCGGGTCTCCCACATGGGTGCAGGGTCCCAAAGCCTTGGGCCGTCCTCGACTGCTTTCCCAGGCCACAGGCAGGGAGCTGGAAGGGAAGCAGGGCTGCCGGGATAGAACCAGCACCCATATGGGATCCCGGGGGTGCAAGGCGAGGACCTTAACCACTGCGCCACCGCGCCGGTCCCAAGATTTGTTAATTTTTATTGGAAAGGCAGATTTACAGAGAGAAGGAGAGACAGAGAGGAAGATCTTCCGTCCAATGATTCACTCCCCAAGTGAGCGCAACAGTCGATGCTTTGCTAATCCAAAGCCAGGAACCTCTTCTGGGTCTCCCACATGGGTGCAGGGTCCCAAAGCTTTGGGCCGTCCTTGACTGCTTTCCTGGTCCACAGGCAGGGAGCTGGAAGGGAAGTGGGGCTGCCGGCATTAGAACCGGTGCCCATATGGGATCCCAGGCATGCAAGGCGAGGACCTCAACCACTGCGCCATTGCGCTGGGCCCTGTGTGACTTTTTTTTCCCCCAAGACTCAGCAGCCCAGCGGGAGTAGGGGATAGAATTCTGTTGACTCTGTTATTCTTTTCTTTCTGGTTCATGGCCTGTATGGAATAATTGGCTGGGTGGAAACATTTGGAATAGAAATCCTGTTTGCTGTTGTTTAGCATGAGCTTTCAGATGGAGATCTGGATCTGGATCTTGTTGGAGAAGATGAAGTGAATCACCTTGATGGCAGCAGCTCCTCGGCCAGTTCCACAGCAACAAGTAACACCGAAGAAAATGATATTGATGAAGAAACTATGTGAGTGTCCTGCAGAACTGCCAGCACAAGGCAGTCAAGTGCTAATTATTTGAAGCATGTTCACTTCCTGGTTAAAAGCGGGAAGGGGGGGGTCTATTGAGGATATACGGTGGCTTTGTTCTAGATATGGAACATTGTCTGTGAACAGAGCAACGTGAAGGAAAGACTAAGTCACTAGATAGTTTCTTCCCTCTGGGCCTAAGCCAAAAATTTTTGTTCTCTAAATTTTTATTAAGTTTTTTTTTTTAAGATTTATTTATTTTTATTGGAAAGGCAGATATACAGAGAGGAGGAGAGACAGAGAGGAAGGTCCTCCGTTCGATGATTCACTTCCCAAGTGAGTACAACGGCCGGTTCTGAACCAATCCGAAGCCAGGACCTTTTTCCAGGTCTCCCACGTGGGTGCAGGGTCCTAGGCTTTGGGTTGTCCTTGACTGCTTTCCCAGGTCACAAGCAGGGAGCTGGATGGGAAGTGGAGCAGTTGGGATTAGAACCAGCGCCCAAATAGCATCCTGGTGCATTCAAGGTGAGGACTTTAACCATTACGCTATTGTGCCAGGCCCTTATTAAATTTTTAAAGATTTATTATTGTTGAATGGAGAGGAAGAGAAAGATCTTCCATCTGCTGGTTCACACCCCACATATCCACAGCAGCTCGGCTGGGAGAGATAGAAGCCCAGATCCAGGAATTCTGTCTGGGTTTCCCACATGAGTGGCAGGATAAGAAGTATTTGGGCCATCCTTCGCTGCCTCCCGGGCACATTCTAAGCAAGCTGTCTCCGGACCAGGGTGTGGCTGGGACTTGAGCTCTGTAGAATTAGAGCTTTTTAAGCAGTCATCTGGGTCTCACATGGGTGCAGACAGCCAAAACTCAAATCAGCACCCATATGGGATGATGGTGCTGAAAACTGAGCCACTGTTCTGGCACCAACAGTTTCTTTAAATATCCAAACTAGCACTGATTTGTATTGTTCCATTATGGAACTGTTCGTGCCAAAACAATGGCCCACAAGCCATGTCATAATGCCTGCGTTCAAGTCCTGCCTGTGCTTGCATTCCAACTCATATTGGTCAGTCTTAAAGATAGCAGATGATGGGGCCTGGCGCGGTGGCGCAAGTGGTTAAAGGTCCTCGCCTTGCACGCCCGGGATCCCATATGGGCGCTGGTTCTAATCCCGGCAGCCCCACTTCCCTTCCAGCTCCCTGCCTGTGGCCTGGGAAAGCAGTCGAGGACGGCCCAAAGCTTTGGGACCCTGCACCCGCGTGGGAGACCCGGAAGAGGCTCCTGGCTTCAGATTGGCATAGTATCGGCCCGTTGCGCTCACTTGGGGAGTGAATCATCGGACGGAAGATCTTCCTCTCTGTCTCTCCTCTCTGTATATCTGCCTTTCCAATGAAAAAATAATAAAAATAAATCTTTAAAAAAAAAAAAAAAAAAGATAGCAGATGAGATGGCACAAACATGTGGGTCTCTGTCTCCCCCATGAGAGTCCTGTCTGTATTTAATGGCTCCTGGCTTTGGTCTGATCCAGCTGTACTTATTGTGGGCATTCCATAGTGAATGGAAGATCCATTTCTCTGTCTCCTTCATTCTTTTTTTAAAAGATTTTTAAAGATTTATTTATTTTTATTGATAAGTCAGATATAAAGAGAGGAGGAGAGACAGAAGGGAAGATCTTCCATCCGTTGATTCACTGCCCAAGTGGTTGCAACAACTCGAGCTGAACCAGCTCCAAAGCCAGGAGCCAGGATCTTCTTCTGAGTCTCCCATACAGGTTCAGCATCCCAAAGCTTTGGGCCGTCCTTGACTACTTTCCCAGGCCACAAGCAGGGAGCTAGATGGGAATTGGGGCCACCAGGATTAGAACTGGCGCCCATATGGGATCCTGGCGCATACCAGGAGAGGACTTTAGCTGCGAGGCTACTGCTCTCAGCTGTCTCCATATCTTGCTATGCTTTTCAAATACATGCAAGTAAATAGATGAATTTTAAAAGGGAGGTGCAGGCACATGGTGCAACAATTATGATGCCAGTTGGTGTGACCACATCCCTAAGTGCAATGCCTGGTTCAAATCACAGCTCTTTGTGATCCAGCTCCCTGCTACAGTGCGTCCTGGAAGGCAACAGATGATAACAAGGGGCTTTGTGTGAGCCACATGAAGGATTCTGTGTGTGTCCCTCTCATTATTTCTTTTCCTTTGTTTTTCATTTAAAACAAAATGAAAATAAATAAAACTTAAAACAAAAATAAAACTAAAGAGAGAAGAAGAGAAGGGATCCTGTCTTCACAGGAGAAAGCTGTGTACTAGTGTCATAAAATGTATTGAGGCTGACAGTGTCAATGCATTTTACTCTGTGAGAATGATGAGGTTTACATATTCTTAGGTCTGGAGAAAATGATGTTGAATATAACAACATGGAGCTGGAAGAGGGGGAGCTCCTGGAAGATGCAGCTGCTGCAGGACCTCCAGGTACAGAAGGCGCACCCCTCGGGCTGCCCCATCTTCTCTGGCCCTGTTGTGTTTCCACAGGTGGTGGCCCCACTCTGAGTAATTCATGCTGCTCAGTACTGCTTGTTACACTGTGGATTTTATGTGCATTACTATTTCTATTTAAAATTGTAATAGTAGCTAACTACATTGGCAGAATGTGTTCATTTACCAGGAACTGTGTGAAGCACTTTGTTAAGTTCTGTGAGAAGGATTTTTTTTTTTTTAAGATTTATATATTTTTATTACAAAGATAGATATACAGAGAGGAGGAGAAACAGAAGATGATCTTCCAATCCCCAAGTGACTGCAATGGCTGATGCTATGCCGATCCGAAGCCGGGAACCAGGAAACTCCTCCAGGTCTCTCATGCGGGTGCAGGGTCCCAAGGCTTTGGGCCATCCTCGACTGCTTTCCCAGGCCACAAGCAGGGAGCTGGATGGGAAGTGGAGCTGCCAGGATTAAAATTGACGCCTATATGGGATCCTGGGCACACTCAAGGCAAGGACTGTAACTGCTAGGCCACGCTGCCAGGCCCATACATTTATTTTTAGTAGCCAAATAGTAGAACTCAAATTCCTTCTTGTCAGAACAGAGAAATAAATAGGATATATTCATATACTGTGAAAATAATAAACAGTAAGTTTATTTTGGGAAGCTTTCTGGGAAACTCTCCTGGATCCCATTCACTTATATGGGATGGAACTTCAAATCTAACTTTTAAAACTTCTTTGGGCGAGTATTGAGGCGAAGTGGATGAAACTGCTGCCTGCAATGCCTGTGTCCCAATTGATCCCCCGTTTGAGGACAGGCTGCTCCACTTCCAGTTCAGCTCCCTCCAAGTGCACCTGGGGAAGCTGTGGAATGGCCTGAGTGCTTGTGCCGCTTCATCCACAGGGGAGACTGTCAAAATTTCGTTCTTCTGGTTTCGACTAACCTGGCTCCAGCTGTTGTGGTCATCTGAGGAATGAGCCAGTGGATAGACAGTGCCTCCCTCTGTATCTGCCTTTTTCTGTTGCTCTGTCTTTTAAATTAATGAATCAGTCTCTCTCTCTGAGGATAGGATAGTTGTCTGTTTAATAGGAGTTGCTGTGGGCGCAGAGATGGTAGGAGATACAGATTTGGCAATGAGATCAAAATTCCTAGAAGAGGTATTAGAGGAAGATGAGGACATGAATGTATAAAAATATGTAAATTATGAATTGGCCTGAAGCTTCTGAGTAATGGAAATTTCTCATAAGTTATTTCCTATTAGAATTGTTTGAATTACTCATGTATAGTCAGAACTTGATAATTTTATATTTTTTATTATGAACTTAAGATTTTGTGCCTTTTATCTTTTTTTAAAATCATTCCTCGCTTTAAAATGTATTTAAATAGCTTTATTAAAGAAGGCCAATTTAAACCCTGAATTATCTGAATCTCATATTTGTGATGTATTTCTCTAGGTACTAGAGAAAAATCAGATGCTTTCCTAACTGAAGCTTAGTCCAGTAGAAATGTGTAATACTGTACTACATTCATTAACAAATAAGCTAAAAACCTGTAAGTTATACTCCAATGTTTAATCAAACTGCAAAAACATCTGCTAAGGCATAATGACCTACGCATGTTTTGGTCCAGAGACCTGGAAGAGATTGCTCTTGTAATGTCTAGTGGTTTGGAAACTGTCAACTGGGGGAATTTGTGATCTTTCATCTAAGACCAGTGGATAATGAAGGGGTCTGTCTTCACCTTTGCTCACCTTCACATCTCATCCCCCAGTTTGGTGCATTGTGCACACTTGTTATGTGTTAACTCCACGGATGTTGCTGATGGTTAGCCCCGAGCAGTCTGTGCCATTGAGACTGCTGCTCAGTTCCTGGGTGGCCGCACACCTCTTAATTAATTAATTAATTAATTAATTTTTTGGTAAGGCTACCATTTTTCCATGTTGTTTCCTTCATGTTTAAAGGGGGTATTAAGGGAGAAGGCCCACCCAATTTCCCACCCTCCCCAGGTCCCGGATATAGGGTATGCTCTGAGGTTCTTGCTCAAGTGGTTTTGATATTTCAACAGTTATGAATCACTGCCAGTCTTGCCACTCCAAGCACTATGAGGTCCTTGAAGAATCCACTGATTAACATAGTCCATCATAGATGAACATGAACTCTTAGAGACAGATTGCTTGTGGAAGCAATCATTCGAATAGTATACGTAAAATGTATGCAAATGCATGCCATCCATTACATTTCTGTTTCTTTTGCAGGTGGTAGCCATGGCTACATGGGTGCCAGTAGCAGAATGTCACGAAGAGCACATTTATGCTCTGCTGCTACCAATAGTTTATTGGATATTGATCCCCTAATTTTAATACATTTGTTGGACCTTAAGGACCGGAGCAGCATGGAAAATTTGTGGGGCTTACAGCCTCGCCCACCTGCCTCGCTTTTACAGCCTGCAGGTACAGTAGTAGCAGTGTGATCCTTTCCTTTTCTCCCATGGCTCTCTAAAGGAGTGCTTCAATTTTCATTGGAATATTTCATGTGTTATAACCTGATCTGTCTCTATAGCAAATTTTGCTTTAATACAGAAATGTTATATTTAGAGGCATTTTTTGAAGGTACAATTCTTGAAAATTTGGTACTCAGATTGGTAGACTCTTCAACCATGTTTGTGGACTCTTCAGCCCATGTTGTTTGTAAAGGCCTAACGGATACCAGTTTTCAGTTTGTGGGTAGTTATGTAACTTGGCTTATCTTATTGAAAACCTGTAAATGACATGACTGTGTTTCCAATCCAGGCAATTAAAATGCTAATGGTAACAAATGGAGTCAGGGAGAAAGTCAGAAGAAGAAAGTAGTGATGTTGAGTTTTAACTTTTCTGAGTTGGATGCACTGATGAAACACGGAAGGCCTAGAAGACAGTTTAGAACCAAACCATAAAATAAAATGAGGACACTCATGTCTTTGTTCTCATTAATGAACCTGTCATAAATTTCTTTGAAAGGCAGAGAGGTGGACGGACAGGCAGGCAGATATGCACACAGAAAGAGCTGGAAACTTAGCCAGAGTCTCTCGCTCGCATGGCAGGCACCCGACTGCTTGAGCCGTTCCCGTGATGCCTTTCAGGTGAAAAATCGGAATTGGAAGCCAGGACTCAAAACGCAAGCACTGCTGTAGGGGTGTGTGTCCCATGGGCATTTTGGTCACCTGCCCCACTAGTGGAGGTCACGCTGATGCCTTCTATGTCAGCTTATTGTTCACACTGTATTTGTAATACCCTTTGCATAAAATATTTTCATGAATATTAACATTTATATTAATAATAATTTGTCTCTTTTCTTTCTTAAGCGTCATATTCTCGAAAAGATAAAGACCAAAGGAAGCAGCAGCAAGCAATGTGGCGAGTGCCATCTGACTTAAAGATGCTGAAAAGACTCAAAACGCAAATGGCTGAAGTTCGGTGTATGAAAACTGATGTAAAGAACACACTTTCAGAAATAAAAAACGCTGCTGCTTCTGGAGATGTGCAGACAAACCTTCTTTGCGCGGACCAGGCAGCCCTGGCTGCGTGTGGGCCTGCAACCTCAAGCAGATTGCAAGGCTTGGGAATGGAGCTCTTGGCGAAGTCGTCGGTGGCCAGCTGCTACGTACAGAACTGTAAGTGAACAAGTTTGTGTTAATATCATTTTTTTTTTTTTACATGTAACAGGAAACTTGAAGACAAGTTATTTTCAGGATAACTGCATTTAGACATCTCTATTCCAGCGAGTTAAGAGTAGAAGTGCTTGTTGCCTTGTTTTTTTTAAACCCCCATGCAGGATTGAAAGACCTTGTGAGATCTCAGTAAGAGGCTTGAGTTTAATTCTTATTTAAGGAGGAAGTCCACAGAGAGTAAACATCAGAGGGTTGTCTATTACCCGATTTGCTCCTTGCGAAAGTGACTGTTTTGTGTGGAGAAGTATCTGAGAAGGGTTGAGAACTGGAGCTGTGAGACTGACCCTAGAGCATTACAGTGGCCTGTGTGAACGTGGTGCGGCGTCCTCGGGTCGAGGCAGTAGGTAGATGGCCTTGCCCTTGGCCAGTCGCCTTCCTTGACAAAGGCTTGTCTTTCTTAGTTCTGCCAAGGTTGGTACCAAACCAGTCCTATTCTAGTGCGCAGGAGGGAAATTAGTTCATTACACACAGTGGAAGCTTTAGACCAGCCCACCTCACGGTGCTAGCTGGGAAAAGGCTCGGTAGTTTTAGGGAAAGAGAAAACCCACTGATGGTATTCAAGTTTTGTCTTAAGAACTTGGTGACTGATGGTGTCATTTACCTAGAGGGAAATGAAATAAGCAGTTAGTGTGGTTTGAGAGGAGGTAATAGCTGGAAGTCAGGAATTTTTAATTTTAGAATTTCTGCCTAATTTTTATAGATTCTTGTTTTTTCCTGAGATTCTTGTTGTTTTTACTGCTTGCGGAACAGTTGAGAGACTCCATCTAGGACTTCACTCCCCCAGTGTGTGTGGGGGTGTGTGGTAGTAGGGGATCCAGGTGCCTGCACCATCGTCGCTGGCCTCCCAGGGTGTGCCTTAGCAGGAAGCTGGATTAAAAGCAGAGTAGCTGGAGTTTGAACCAAGCTCCTCTGTATGAGGTGCAGATATCCTAAGTGCCAGTTTAACCAGCCGTACCCCACCACCCACATCAGAAGGCTGGCATTCTTGTTTCAATTTGGGATGATTGTAAGATACTCCGGTGAGATGTCATAGACTCCGTAAAGCTCAGAGATCAGAGCTAGAAATAGAAGGTTGGGAATCAAAGAAGCAGATGTTATTTAAACCTTGGGCTGAGTAGGTTCATGTATGGAGGGAGTCTCAATGGAGACAACTTACAGATGCACAGCTCTTAGCTAAAAGTTCTGACAAAAAGGGGCTGGCAAGGTGACACAGCAGGCTAATCCACTTGTAGTGACAGTATTCCATATGGGTGCTGGTTCATGTCCCAGCTGTTCCACGTCTTGTCTAGCTCTGTGCTGATGCCTGCAAAAGCAACAGGGGATGGACCACCTCCTTGGGCCCTGCGCCCTCATGGGAGAATTGCAAGAAGCTCCAGGCTCCTGCATTTAGACTGACCCAATGCTGGTTTTCGAACTCATTCCTATAAACTGAACCAAATGAAATTGCCAATACACAATTTTTGAAAAAGCTAACATGACATCACATTTGTTTTGTAGCAACCTATCAAAATGACATAATGATTATATTGACCATTTTCAGTGGTTAGCTGGAGGTTCTTCCAGTAATGGCTTCCATGGTTCCCACTGCATCATTTTTCTTGCCAGACTTAGTTCATTTTTAAAAAATTTATTTTTATTGCAAAGTCAGATATATAGAGAGAGGAGGAGAGACAGAGAGAAAGATTTTCCATCTGCTTTTTCACTCTCCAAGTGGGCACAACAGCTAGAGTTGAGCCATCTGAAGCCAGGAGCTTCTTCTGGGTATCCCACACGGGTACAGGGTCCCAAGGCTTTGGGCTGTCCTCGACTGCTTTCCCAGGCCACAGGCAGGGAGCTGGATGGGAAGAGGAGCCGCCGGGATTAGAACCACTGCCCATATGGTTTCCCAGTGCATGAAAGGGGAGGACTTTAAGCACTAGCCTACTGCACCGGGCCCAGAGACTTAGTTCATTTTAAGCCCTAAGAATCAGTCCTTCTACTTGGCTACCCTGAAGTTGATCTTGCAATTTTGTAACATCTGATTTAATTTTCACCATACTTTTCACTACAGCAGTCTTCTTGAGGAGGCCCGCCATGTCGGCCCACGCAGCCAACAACCGCCAATGCGCAGCACGTGCAGCACATACACACTGCTGTTTGGTATTGTTTAGCTCGGCATTTGTTGTGTTCTTTATCATACCCACACTTTTTCTCAGCTGCTATAATTTTATAGTTAATAATATTCTGACAAGCTTGCTTGCCATTTTTTAAATTGACAAGAGAACTTCGAGCTGGAGCAGCAGGTTTCCTTTTATAAAAGGTTATTTGAGGGCCCAGCGCAGTAGCCTAGCAGCTAAAGTCCTCACCTTGAATGCACTGGGTTCCCTGCACCCACGTGGGAGACCCAGAAGAAGATCCTGGCTTCTGGCTTTTGATCAGCGCAGCACCGACTGTTGTGCTCACTTGGGGAGTGAATCAGTTGGACGGAAGATATTCCTCTCTTTCTCTTCTCCTTTCTGTATATCTGACTTCGCAATAAAAATAAAATCTAAAAAAAAAAAAAAGGTTTGTTTGAAAGGCAGAATTGGAGAGTGGAAGAGACACAGATTTCCCATCTGCTGGTTCACTTCCCGGAATGCTGCGATACCCACAGCGGGCCAGGCCGCATCCAGAAGCCAGGAACTGCGGCTGAGCTTCCCGTGTGCGTGGCAGTGGTTCAGACACTTGCACCATCAGTCACCGTTCAGGTCTCAGCTGCAGAGTTAGAAAGCTGAATTGGAAGTGGACTTGAACTGGTATGGGATGTGGACAAAGTATTAGTTTAACGTGTTGTGCCACAGTTCCCATTCCACCTTCCAGAGTGTGTGAGCAGGAGCTGGAGGCGGGAGCTGGAGTGGGAGTCAAAGCAGGGACCTGTTTGGGATGCAAGCCTCTTAATTACCAAGCCTCAAATGGTGTTTTTTTTACACTGAGCCCAAAGTTGCATAGAATTAGATAAAATGCTTTTTTGACATTAATGATACTATTTTCATTTATTATCTTAATAACCTGCATTATGGTGAACTACATAGTTTTTTGTTATACTTTTCTTCTTTTATTTAAAGATTAGTTTTATCTTTTTATTGGAAAGTTAAATATATAGAGAGGAGGAAAGAGAGAGAGAGGATCTTCTGTCCATTGACTCATTCCCCAAGCGGCCTGAACAGCTGGAGCTGAACTGATCCAAAGCCAGGAGCCAGGATCATCTTCTGGGTCTCCCATGCAGGTGCAGGGTCCTAAGGCTCTGGGCCGTCCTTGACTGCTTTCCCAGGCCACAAGCAGGGAGCTGGATGGGAAGTGGGGCCACTGGGATACGAATCAGTGCCCATATGGGATCCTGGTGTGTGCAGGCTAAGAACTTTAGCTGCTAGGCTTCCGCACGGGGCCCTATGCTACTTAGTTTTGGTCTGTGATTATCTTAATATTTGCTGCTGTATTCAGTTTCTTAATATTTTACTTGGTATCCCTGACATGTGGCCAATAACTGAAATCACTGTAGTTTAATTACACTGTCCTTACTCATTTGAGTTCGAAATTCATGCCAGTTGCAAAGAATAAATTTGGGGCCTGGCGTAATAGCCTAGTGGCTAAAATCTGCCTGGCACACACCAGGATCGGTTTGGGTGCTGGTTCATATCCCCGCGGCCCCGCTTCTCATCCAGCTCCCTGCTTGTAGCCTGGCAAAGCACTAGAGGACGGCCCAAAGCCTTGGGACCCTGCACCTGTGTGGGAGACCTAAAACAAGCTCCTGGCTTTGGATTGGTTCAGCTCCAGCCGTTTCAGCCACTTGGGGAATGAACTAGTAGTTGGAAGATCTTTGTCTCTCCTCTCTGTAATTCAAACTTTCCAATAAACATAAATTAGATTTTTTTTTTTAAAAAAAAGGCTAAATTCAGAAGCTTTTTGTGCTTTTCTGTGCTGTGAAATTGTTTTAACATGTTATCTGCTTTGTTTTTTCACTTTGTTAGATTTTATTAGGCTTTTAGTATAATGAAGCTCAATTATAGAACCGTTTAGTAGCTCATTAAGGGATAGAAGTTTACCAGGCTTTTTAATTGCTGTTTATTGGTCTCTTGTTTCTCCTATTACTTATGTCAGTTTCCATAATTAGTTTTACAAGAAATTGTTTGTTTTATTAGATGTTAAATTTATTGATATAAATTTGCTCTGAGTAGTTCTTAAAATTAAATATCTGAGACTTCTAATTGTGGAGTGCACTCATGTATTTCATTGCTTGTTGTGTGTGGGGATAAATGCCCCCTGAACTGGCCCCCTGGGTGCCCAAGTCTCATACATTCTCAGCCGACTGAGAGTGCTGCCAGGAGGCAGGCTTCCTGCTGGGACCACAGCCACCTCCCTGGCCAAGGTGACGGGGCATTAGGTGCCTCACATTCCTGCCTTCCTGTTGGAGTGTCTGTGGCTCAGCGTGTCTGAGTACAGAGTTTTATTATGTTTCTTCCCCTGTTAATCTGTTTACTGCTATCGGTTCCTGTAACTTATGCTATGCTGTTGCCTAAAGCGTGGTGATTGCTGCCCAGATGCCTTGGGACCTATCTTTACAGGGGCTTGTGTGCTGTTTAACTGATGTGTAACTTGCCTGCCTGCCCTGCAACAGCTTTAGTGTGTAAGTGCCTAGAATAGTTGGACAGAATGTGCATCGGGTCACTTGCCTCTGCCTCCTCTGTGTCCCGCTTCTTCTTGGCGCAGTCATCACACCTTGGGTCCAGGTCCCCCCAACATGGGAGCCCAAGACTTTGGACCATCCACTACTTTCCCAAGCCATAAGTAGGGAGCTGGATCGGAAGTGGAATATATGGGACTTGTACTGGTACCATATGGGATACCAGCACTGTTGGTGGAAGCTTAGTTTACTGTACCATAGCACCAAACCCTAATTCATTAATGTTAAGGGTTTAGATTTTCTTATTATTACTGCTTTGACCACAAATACTTTTCATTTGAGGGACTATAATTATAATTTCTATTTGTCTAATTTCATACACACAGAAAAGAAATCTAATTGATTTCTCTTTAATACAGTAATGCTTTACAGTTTCCAAGTGTTTGCTGTATTAATGGGTGCACGTGTGTGTATATGTTTGTGTATCTATTTCAGAGGCAAGAGGGCTGCCTGCAGTTACTGTCTAAATGCCTACCTCAGCTGGGCCTGGGCCAGGCTGAAGCCAAGGACATGAACTCAGTCCCCGTATCCTCTGTGGGTGGTATGAAAGTGTCATGGGCTCGTTGGCTAAGCCTCAGCCTGGAGTGCCTGCATCTCAAGGTCCAGCTGCTCCATTTTGGATCAAGCTTTGAGCTTTTGGCCTGGGAAAACAGTGGAGGATGCTTTCCGGGGCAAGACTGTGAGCCCTGCACCCACGTGGGAGTCCCGGAGGAAGCTCAGCTTCCATTCCAAATAGTCCATTCTGACCATTTGGGCAAAGAACCAACACATAGAAGGGTTTTCTCGCTCTCTCTTTCTCCTTCTCTCTGTAACTTTCAAATGAAATAAGATCTTAAAAAGAAGAAAGTAATTCCTTTAGGCTTGGTCATTACCCACCTGATCCCGAGTCCAGCTGGAGCTGAGCCTCAGAGCAGGGCACCCTGATACTGGAGGCATGGAGGGGACCCGGGGCTCAGCAGCACCCTCCCCCGGAGGTTTTTAATTTTTTATAATTTAATTGCACTAACGTTGGTGTGATTTTTTGTTGTTGTTGTTGTTATGGCATTTATATATGATTTTGCGTTCCACTAGCAGCGAAAGAGGAATGCATTTGTCTTAAAGCCGGTGGCGCCCATAGAACGTTCCTGTTTATTTGTGACACAGTAGACAAGCAGCTTGTGTGCGTGGTTGGAGTGACCCTTTCTCTGGCTGCGCTTCCTGCCATTTGGTCATATTCACGAGTATTTTTCAATGTCTTTGCAGCCGCAAGTAAGAAGAGTAATTCACCTAAGCTAGCTCGGTCTAGTATTGCAGGCAGTCTGTCGCTTCGGAGAGCAGTGGATGCTGGGGAGAGCTGCCGTTCCAAGGGAGATGGCCAGGCTCTCTCTGAAGGTACATGGGGCGGGGGGGGAACGACGACACTTCGGGATGTAGGTTCGGTTGGTAGATTTCTTTCACTGGAGATTTATGTGACGTTGTGCAGCTTTAGACACTGAAAGGCACCACAAATGTGAAAGTGTAGCTTGCAGGACTTTTGGTCTCACAGTACCGTAAGAAATGAGTGAGCCCGTTAGACTGAGTGTTGTGACTCTAATTTTCAATAGGTGGCATCGGAACGGTTCGTTTTCAAGTTGGTTTTGAAGTAACCACTGTGAGCCCTGATTGAGTTTAGAAGGGATGTAGCCTGACACTGATCTCACTTAGAGGACCCTGTGTGTGGTTGTCTGCTTTCTGACCGTCCTCCTCTCCCTCGCAGGCGCCCCGGGCAGCTCGCAGTGTGGGAGCAGGCACAGCTCTCCCCGCACCTTGACACACGGTGTTATCAGCGACATTCTGCCCAAGGCAGAAGAACGGCAGTGCAAAGCCCTGGATTCCCGTGCTGTCGTGGTCGCCGTGTTCAATGGCCTACCTATGGTAGAGAAGAGGAGGAAAATGGCTGCTTTGGGGTAAATCTCTTTCTTTTGTTCATGTGATGAGCTAACAACTGACAGCTTTGCTTGAAACTTTGTCTCCATACTAATAAACGAAATCGATCTCTCTCTATTGTTTAGCAGGCAGAATGTTGATGAATTGCATTAAGATGTCACTTTAATATATCATAGATGTTTCTTTTGTTGCTGCTGTCGGGTTTTTTAGTTGGATGAGTAGTGCTAGAACAAAGAGAGGACATAGAGGACAGCAGGACAGACACCTGCATCCTGCCCTGTTTGGGAGAAGCCTGGATCCTCTTCCAGTTCAGCTTCCTGCTGTTGCTGGTCCTGACGACTCAGGACCCTTCTTCCTGCCACTCGCATGGGAGACCTGGAAACTGAGTTCCTCGCTTGGATCTTCACCCTGGCTCAGTACTTTGTGCTGCAAGCATTTGGGGAGACGTTCCAGCCATAGGCTCACTCCCCACATGCCTGCAGTAGCTAGGGCTGAAGCCGGAGGCCTGGGACTCAGCGAGTCTGCCACGCAGGTGGCTGGCACTCCACTGCTGCAGCCGTCAAGCCTGCATTGGCAGGCAGCTGGAACTGAAAGCCGAGCCGAGCTTGAACACAGCCACTCCTGTATGGGTGTCCTAGGCAGCGTGTTAGCACTGTGACAAACCAGTGTCTGTGCTAATCCATTTTATGGCTACTGAGTTGTTCTGCTTTGGAGCCTTTGAAAAGCATTCTGAGTTGAGAAAAATATGAGCATTCCTTAAACTTGATTTTATGTAGCTTTGAAGACCTGGGTCGTTACCAAATTTAAAAGGGCAACTACTAGTTTAATTTTTGGCTTCACTCAACTTTGAGCAGTATGAAGTTGTTAAAATCCCTGCAGATGATCTTGTATTTCTCATTAGCTTGATATATAAACACTTCTTTGAAGTTAAACTGCTGCCAACTTTTGCACATTATGTATTATACATGTATTTGTATCAGCCTTCAGCCATACAGATTAAATATATGTGGACATACATTTAAAAATGTTTAGTATTTTTCCAGTACATAAAGTTCCATACAAATATCTGCAACTGTTAGCTATAGTCTTCAGTTTACAGTGAGTTTTGTCTTCCAGCCTGGTTCATATGGGTATAGTCTTGTTCATGTGGTAGTGGTGGTGGTGGTGTTTTCTTTTCCTCTCTCTCTGCCTGATTTAAAGCATTATAAGCAAAAAGTTTAAATATTAATGCTGAGTGAAAGCGAAGTGGGGGAGGGACAGTGAGAATTCACCCATCTTTCTCTCCCGTCTGGTTAGTTTTCCAAGTCCCAGCCCACACACATTCCCTGCTGTTCTTTAATTTTTTTTTTTTACTCTTTTTTTTAATTCCTCTTTTATATTTTTCTTTTGTTCCTTAATTTTTTTATGTATGCTATGTCTGCTTAAGTTTTCTGTATTTTTTTTCCATTATTTTTAAAGATTTTATTTATTTTTATTGGAAAGGCAGATATACAGAGAGGAGGAGAGACAGAGAGGAATATCTTCCATCCGATGATTCACTCCCCAAGTGGCTGCAACAGCCAGAGCTGTGCTGATCCAAAGCCAGCAGCCAGGAACTTCCTCCGGGTCTTCCACGTGGGTGCAGGGTTCCAAGGCTTTGGCCCATCCTCTACTACTTTCCCAGGCCACAAACAGGGAGCTGGATGGGAAGCGGGGCCGCGGGGATTAGAACCGGCGACCATATGGGATCCTGACACATTCAAGGTGAGGACTTTAACTACTACACTGTAACACTAGGCCCAGGTTTTATGTATATTTAAGTGATATGGATATGTAGCTTTTTAAATACAAAAAATGCGGGGCTGGTGTTGCGGCATATCGGATAAGGTTGCTGTCTATGATGCCAGGATCCCATAGGGGCTGCACCACCTTCTTTCTATCCAGTTCCCTCCTCATGGCCTGGAAAAGCACTGGAAGGTGGCCCAAGGGTTTGGACCCCTGCCCAGCTGGCTTGGCCCAACTCAGCCATGGAGAGCGAGGCCCGCTGGGGAGTGACCCAGCTGATGGGAAAGCTCTATCCTGTGTCTTTCCTACGCCTGTGGTAGCTACAAATTTCAAAGAAATGACAGACGAATCTCTAGAAATAAATGCCTTGTTTTGTCCATGCATCTTGGGATCCACAGTTTGGCACAGTGGGTTAAGAGGCCACTTATTATACCTATACCCCGTATTGGACTGCTGGTTCTTCTCTGCTTGTGGTCTGGCTTCCTGCCAGCACACACCCTGGGCAGCACCATGTGATGGCTCCAGTACCTGAATCTCCCCACGCACTTGGGAGACCCTGACAAGTGCAGGCTCCTGGTCCAGCCTCGCACCTGCTGTTGCGTGCATCTGGGGAGCTGGCTAGTGGCTGGGAGACATCATCTGTGTGTCTTCCTTTCAAATAAAATGAAAATTAATACAAATTAAAAAATAATAAAAATAGCAAAATTTGAAATCTTGTGTTAATCACCAGAGCATATACCCTATTTGACTTGATATTCATGTTCAGGATAAGAAGCAAATAGTTTTCCGTGTCAATTACTGGTTCTATGAAAATATCGATTTGTATTTTTTTTCCTTTAGGGCTAATGCCAAAGGAGGCTGTTTGGAAGGCCTGCAGGTGCCGGATTTGGAAGCCAGCTCTGAAACTGAGGAGCTGCAGCCCGTGCTCCCTGAAGGAGCCACCGCTGCCGCGGAGGACGGTAAGCAAGGGTCAGGGCGGGCTCAGATGCGAGGCTGGAAGCATGCTGGGTTTTTTGTTTTGTTTTCTGATGTGGCAGGGGCAGGGAATCCCAGTTTAAAGTGTCACTGATATTTGCGGTTTGCAATCTGACATATGTAATTGAACAGGCCATTCAATGTGTGCTGCTGAAGTTTAGTTTCTAGGACATTAAACCCAATGAAAGGCAGAATGGCTTATTTACTACGTAAAATGATACTTTTTGTTTTTATTCTTATTTTCCATTTTACTATTTTGTAGGCACTGGGCTTCCTACCTCTCTCTTCCCTGAAACCCTTCTCTTCCTCATCTCGTCCCCTGTGTTTTGTAGTAAAACAATCTATCAGGTGTAGTCTGCTCTTTGTGTGGGTCATGACACTGTTTGTTTAGGTGATGGCAGAAAGTTTAATATTTTGTTATCTAGGTGTATTTGGAAGTTTCATTGGGGATCTACTTTTATTTAGTAGTAGAGATGCATTTTGTTGGTTTTCTTTGAATTCTGGTACTCTGGTCTCCATTACATCAAGTTTGTTTTTTTACTTGAACAGCAGAGTTACAGAGAGAGGGGCAGGGGGAGAGAAAAAAAGAATTTTCCATCTGCTGGTTCATTCTGCAGAGTTGAGCTTTTCTGAAGCCAGAAGCTTCTTGAGGTCTCCCACTTGAGTACAGGGGCCTAAAGATTAGATTAGGATCATTTTTTGCTGCTTTCCCAGACCATAAGCAAGGAGCTAGATCAGGAGTGTTGCAGCTGGGACACAAACTGACACCCATGTGAGATGCTGGTAGCATAGACTGAGGCTTAGCCTTCTAAGCCATGGCACTGATCCAGAAAGCATTTAGAGGGAGAAGAGACCTACAGATAAAATGTTCAATCAGTAATAATAAGCCACGTAGAGAAAAATGTGCCAGCTGTTGAATTTTTGTTAGATATGCAAGATGAATTAGGTATGTTCAGTTTATAAGGAAGATATTCCCTAAAACACTTAAGTCTTTGTCTTTAAAATCAGTCTTGATTAATGTGAACAGATTGTTCTGCTCTTCTTACAGGAGTTTTCCATTTGTTAGTTTTCCATTTGTTTCTTCCAAACTTACTTCTTTTTTAAAAGGCTGAGTGATCAAGAGTGGTAATAATCTATCTTCCATCTGCTGATTCCCTTCTCAAATAGCCTAAATAGCCACAGTGGGAGCTGGTGCCATGGTTTTGTGTGTTAATCTGTTGCCTGAGAAAAAGACGGCATTCTACATGAGTAACGATTCAAGTCCCAACTGCTCCACTTCCAGTCCGGCTCCCTGCTAATGTGCCTGGGGAAGCACTGGGGGATGGCACAAGAGCTAGGGCAGTGCATTCATGTGGGAGACCTGGAAAAAGCTGCCTACTGGCTGTATTCTAGCCCAGTCTAGAATTTTAGGCCATTTGGGGAGTGAACCAGTATAGGCAAGATCTCTTCCTGTCCTTACAGGAAGGTCTTAACTGGTGACCAGAAAAACTCTAGTTGTATACTGGATTCAGCAGAGGAATGAGTGTTCCATTAATTTAATCCAAGATTGATGTGTGACCAATGCTGTAGCGTTATTGGTCCACTGAATTAAAGTTAAACAACCAGGGCTGGTCCAGGTCAAAACCGGAGCTGGGAGCTCCATCCAGGTCCCCCTGCGGGTGCCTAGACTAACACACCCATATCCCAGATGTGGTGTCAACGAGTTGGGTCAGAGGCAGAACAGCGAGTACTCAAAGCAGCACTCCAGGTTGAGGAGTGAGTGGCCCAGGCAGCAGCCTAGCCACTGTGGCTCAACACTGTTGTCATGGTTGTGTTTATTTTTTGTTTTTAATTGAGAGGTAGCAAGAGAAAGACATGGATAAAAAGGGGGGGGCTATCTCCCATCCATTGAGTCGCTCTCCAGATGTCTGCAACAGCTGGATCTGGGCCAAGCTGAACTGGCAAGCAGGAACTCATTCTGGGTTTCTCACATCGGTGGCAGGGATGAGATATTGAGCCATCACCTCTCGCTTCCTGGAGTGCACATGAGCCGAAAGCTGCAGTCAGGAACAGAAGGGGGACCTGAACCCTGGGCACTGTGACATGCCATGTATCCATCCAGCATCTTAACCAGTGTGCCAGGTGCTCACCTTCAGTCATGTTTAAAATCTACAGTGGAGCTCTTGGCTCTGCCAACTTACTGTGTTACCTTCTGGTCTGTTGTCCACATTGTATCAAGTTCTTTGTTCCATACCTGAAAGTATGTTGCCTAATTTGGATGACAGAAGGTACTTGAAACAAGCTCTGTGTGTTGTCCTTTTTGTGTCCTTCATGTGCTAAGCAGGGAAGAATGCTGGCTGTGTTAATGATAGCTGGCATTGGGTCTATGTTTTTCCTCTTCTCGCTCCTTCCTCTGCACTCATTTCAGCTTCAGGGATTGATGAGTTGTGGTACAGCTGCCAGCGCGCACCTCTGCTGTGCTAGGAGGCCGTGGCGGGGGCAGTTTTAGGTTTTTCAGTTAACACCAGTTTGCATGTTAGGTTTCAGAGTTGGCATCATTATTTCCATAGAGGACATGGAGTACACAAGAATTTTAAAGTAATGTATTGATTGTTAAAACATTAAGAAAGAATTCTGTTGTGATTGGTGATCTTTATAGAAATCCTGTAGGGATTCATGATTTGTTAATACATTCTGGTTACAAATTATGATGGCTCAGATTGTCCACCATGTGCTATAATTATAGGCTCATTTTTCTTTTCATACAGTATTTTGGTGAAACAGCAATAGTATCTGGTTCGGAGTTTTTTTATTTCAGTGCCATTTATGTTTGGGACTGTGTAGTTCCTCACTGCAGGACAATTGCGCTCAGCACTTGCACAGGAACCTCAGCTCTTGCCTCCTGGGTGCCGTGGTAACCACCACCAGCAGCCTCTCTCAGATGGTCCAACCAGACGTGTTTCCTGACATTTAGAGAGACAGAGATCCCCCATGCACTGGCTCCCTGCCCGGACATCAGCAGCCAGGGCTGGCCCAGGAGCCCGCGACTCAGTCAGGTCTCCTGTGTGCTCGGCGGGGACGGCAGTACCCAGGCAGTTCCTGGGCTGTGCCCTGTGGCTTCCTGGGGTGCTCGTTAGTGCCAGCTGTGAGTGGAGCTGAGGCTGGAACCCGGGCACCGTGAGAGGGGATGTAGTCATCCCCATAGTGTCTTAACTGCCTCTCTTGAAGAGAAGATTCTGCAGAAACTTAAAGACGTCGACATGTTTAGCAGTCTTGCTTCTGGCTGGGAAATGTTTTGAATTACGCTTAAGCATCAATAAAATATAACTGTTTCCGTATACATGCCTATCATAAACGGTGCTTTTCCTTACTAACTGGAACCATTGCCATAACCCTCTACTGAGATTCCTGTTTAACAGTGTGATGTTGGAAAGCTTGGCTTTTTCCCATCCCAGTTGGTAGACTATGGAATTCCATCTATGAGGCCAGTTTCTTACTGCACAAAAGTCAGTGCCAGATAGGGTAGCATAGATCCCTCTGCCATGCCTGTGCCCAGGAAAAGCCTTCTTAGGCCTCTTAGGGTCTTGCCAGTGGCCACTCTAGGAGGAATCCAGGTCTAGTGAGCTGTGTAATAGGATTAGGATGCTTTGGGGAGGAGCCCTAGTTTTTTCTTTTTCTCTCTCTCTCAAGTAAATAAATCTTTTTTAAAAATGAGGTCACTGGGGGCCAGTCCTTAGCCTGCGGCGTCAGCATCTCATACAGACACTGATTTGTGTCCTGGTCGCTCCATTCCTGATCCAGCTCCCTATGATGACCCAGGAAGGCAGTGGAGGCTGGCCCTTGCACCTACATGGGAGGCCCAGAGAAAACTCCTTGCTCCCAGCTTCAGACCAGCCCAGCTCTGACCATGGTGGCCATCTGGGGAGTGAACCAATAGATTGAAGATCTCTCTGTCTCTTTCTCTGTTATTTTCACTTTCTTTTTTAAATTTATTTTTATTACAAAGCCAGATATACAGAGAGGAGAAGAGACAGAGAGGAAGATCTTCTGTCTGATGATTCACTCCCCAAGTAAGTGCAACGGCTGGTGCTGTGCCAATCCGAAGCCAGGAGCCTTTGCCAGAAGCCAAAAACCTCCTCCAGGTCTCCCAGATAGGTGCAGGGTCCTGACAAATCTCCTTGCAACCCAGCTTCCTGCTAATGCGCTTGGAAAGGTAGCAGAAGGCTGCTCAAGTTCTTGGTCCTCTGCCCCCCAAGGGAGCCCTGGATGGGATTACTGGCTCCATTTCAGCCTGACTGTTGAAGCCATTTTGGGAATGAACTACTGAGTGGAAGACAGATTGCTCACTCTTCCTGTCACTCCTTCTGTCCCTTTTTTTCTCAAATAAATAAATCCTGGCGGGGCGAGGTGGCCAGGTCTTGGGGTGAATTGTACCAGAAGTTAGTTCCATGTGGTGTGTGTGCAGGAACAGTGAGTGGCCACAAGGGGGAGGTAGTGCATGGCAGAAATAGCTGTTATAAGTGGAAATTACTTTAGCATAGGAAAGGATTTTACTTATATTTTTCCTTTGCTAAAATAGAAAAAGATTTCAGAAATTCCCATGTACCCAGCCTATGTCTTGTAAATATTGAAGAGACGACCTGTATTACCTAAACCTTTCTTGGAAACAGAAGAGGAAGAATTCACCTGGTTCGGGTTGGCAGTGCACTGGCCGTTGCGCTCATTTGGGGTGAATCGTTGGACGGAAGAGCTTCCTCTCTGTCTCTCCTCCTCTCTGTATATCTGACTTTCCAATAAATAAATAACTCTTTAAAAATTTTTTTTCATCCATCCATACACATATACTGGATGTTTATGTTTATTATGTGGCCTGACTACAGTGAATTAGGAATTAGGAATTCCTGGTCATTCCTAAGATTGGGGGAAAAAACAAAACAGTTGGATTTGAGGGAAAGAAAATCAACTGAGTTTTGGCTTAACACTTTCGTGCTACTATGGAAAGGAAAATTTTTTAAAATTTGAAACAAAAATGAAACCACTGCTCTAAAGAACTGAAGTGAGGTTTGCGTGGCTGCTTGCAGCTTTATTTGGTGCTTGGTGTGCGGAATGTTGGCATCCCGCGTGCAGAGCGGTAGGCCTCTCAGCACAGGTGAGGCGTCCTCTTCCTGCTGATGCTGCTTTCTCATTGAAGCGCGTTCTCCCCTTCTCTCCCGCCAGGAATGAGCAGTGACAGTGACATTGAATGTGACACTGAGAACGAGGAGCAGGATGAACACACCAGCCTGGGCGGGTTCAAGGACTCTTTCATGGCCCAGCCCCCGGATGAAGGTGCGACACGCGGTGTCCCCTCTCACGGGTTTCATAACGCCATCTCCGCTGCTGCTGCTTGAGCTGCTTCGCTGCAGCTTCAGCCCCTGTGCCATTGCTGTCAGTGTGACAGTCCTCATCAGAGCTGGGCGAGACACCGTGCAGTGCTGCCTGCTGGCTGGAGACGCCGGGTCACTCTGCTTTGTGTGGCCTGGGGGGGAGGCTGTGCGTGGTACCCAGGTCTTTTCTGTCTGACCCGTTATAAAAATTCTCACCACGCCTGGAGAGGTTTCACACGTTTTTGCTTTTCAGATATTTTTACAAAAATAATGTTCTCTTAGAAGCCCATGCAGGTCATGGAATCAGGTTTTTTTTTTTCTCCCCTTTCCATCTAAAAATGTGTGCTAGGGTGAGACTCATCAAGAGAAACTCAGCATTGGTATTTTATCTTGTTTTCTTCGATTTTTGTTTGTATTCCTTTTACCTAAATGAAATTGCATCCTATGTTTTTGTATTGTTTTCACCTTCTTTTATTAAGATTTCATAAACTTTGGTTTTTCTGGGCAGCCTTGTGCTCTGTGAAGGAGCCATCACCACTCTGCCTTCTAAAATGCAGATTAAACAATGAGGGGCATACTGTAAGGTCAGCCCAGAGACCCCAGGTGTCTCTAGGAATTCTGGACTGACAGACACTGTCAGCTTTCTCACTTACGTATTTTCCTGGCATTGGCATCTTTTTCAGGGGAGAGGTAAGCACGTGCTGATCTGTGTCAGCGCACCTGTCATTCCCTCTGCCTCCGAAGGAATCGTCCGGATTTTGAGCATGTGATGCTGAGCGCTGTGCGTTGTACAGTACACTGCAGGCTGCAGGCCTACGTCCTGGGTGTGTGCGCCATCATTGGTTGTTCCTTCTGCAGCTGCCAGGCAGTGTTCCCAAGCAGGAAGAGCCAGACAGCCCTTCATCTTGACCCTCTGGGTGTCTGTTACATATCTTGTGTTTTTTCCTTTGTGTTCCCTTGGTGTTGGCTGACACCTGGCTCCCATCACACATCCGCAGTGGCACAGATCTGCTCCCAGCCCAGCCTGTGTCACTTGGGGAACATGCTTAGGGAAGCCCACGCTCCTCTGTTCTGTTACCTGCTTTTAAGTGTAAACCTTTTTTTTTGTTTTTAATCTTTTCATTTTCTCGTAGGTACACATTCCAGTTTTCCTGATGGTGAACAAATAGATCCTGAAGTGCTCAGCTTCAATACTGATGAAAACAATGGAAGGTAATTGTTAAATCAACAGAACTGCCTTGCTCACTAGTTGACCCCAAGCTGTGCTGTCATTGTGTTCCAGTCTGTCCTCAGTGAGACAGGCAGAGCTGGTCTCATGGTTTGTCATCTCCCCCACAAAGTAACGCGGCAGCCGTTACAGTAGCTCACTGCTAGTGTGACACAGTAGTTCCCCGGGAGCAGGTGCCACGGCCCTGCACTGACACAGCACAGTCGCCCCCAGTTAGCAGGTGAGGACCCTCACACAAAGCAGTCTGTCGGCTGTGCCCCCTGTGGACTTGAGGCCAGGCATGGGCTCGACCTCCCGCCTCACTGCTGGCTTCGGCTGGATGCTCAGTTGTCTGTAAATGTATTTAATGGGCTTTAATTATGGTTGATGGTTTCATTAGTACATGTAGGGTAGTAAATAGGAACATTACTTGTGACTAGGTACCTGTAGACACTTTCGATGAATAACTGAAGTAACACTAGCCTCAGTTTACTCTTGGGAATATGTTGACAGAGTAAAATTTTAATTTATTTTTCTTGCTCGTTCAAGTGCAAGCGCACTTTCATGTTTCTCTGGTTTGACTTTTGCAAATGTAATTTTAAATAACTTAATATGGATTGGTCATGTCCCTGGTCATGTGGAGTCATGTAAGATCATTTGAAATCACTGATTTCATTTATTTCTGCCTCTTGTTTAAGTGCAGTACAACAAATATTTTAAACCCCTCTTTGTTTTCATTAGTTGATTGTTGACTTGGGTGTCGTTGCATTTAGATTCACATATTGTGCACAGTGAAACTGTGATACAAAGCTTTCCTCTGTGCTCATAACTGGTTGGAAATAATTGCCAAACATTGCCATTGTGCCCCTGCATTTGTGTTTGAGCTGCTGTAAGATGGCGAAAATTACACTGAGAATGGGACCGGGAGGCTCCTGGGAGACCATGAATAACTGAATGCCCGTGAGAGACATCGTGCTCCTCATGTCTTACTGCATGAGCAGTGTTCACTTTTCCGTATCTAACGTCATGCCGAATGCTGTGACTCGTTTATTTTGTTCAAAATAGTTTGCCCTTTTTGTTAATAAAAATGAACTTGAGAAAATATGCCTCTGCAATTTATTAACAATGGGACCAGAAACCTCTTGTTCCAGTCTTGTGACTGTGCTGTTGGACAGCATGGCAATATCAAACATTGGAGTCTTTTTGTTGTGTGGTGAGGGATGACGCCTCCACAAAGCCTTTCTCCCAGTCATCTTGGAATCATAATAAGCCTTAGAGATCCAAAGACTGCGTTAAGGATGACCGCTTTTAATTTGGACTTGCTGACTTTGAGTAGCCAAGTATGAGGAAAATGAATTCCTCTTCTGGTGTCTGGGCATCTTTTGTATCAAGTCTGCCCAGTCGCCCGGCGGTGCCAAGGACGCGCAGCTTTCCCAGAGCGCCCGCCGTGGCTGGACTCGTAACGTGTGGGGAGGGTCGGAAGGAGCAAGGGCGCTGAGAGACGTGTTCTTTGAGTCCTCACTTTTTCTTTCCGACCATTTTACTTCTGCTGAAGGACATGGTTCCTGTTAGTCTTTAGATTAATATCTTGCTTCAGTATTTCGTTTTGTCAAGTTCATTCGCAGAAAATTGCTCAGTTTTCCTTAGGCCTGGCCCCAAGTATTATATAGTATCTGGCCATCACTTGATATCAGAGTTGCCAGCATCCATGCCAGAGAGCTAGTTTGAGTCCAGTCTGCTCCATTTTCAATCCAGCTTCCTGCTAATGCCCTTGTCGAGGTGGCAGATGGTGGCACATGTGCTTGCATCATGCCATCCACCCCAGGAAAGACCTGGATGGAGTTTTAGCCTGATGCAGCCCTGGCTTTTACTGGCATTTGAGGAATGAACCAGCAGATGGGGGATCTCTGTCACTCTGCCTCTCAGATAAATAAAACTTTTTAAAAGATTTTTCATAGGTCATCCACTGGTTCATTCCCGAGGGCCAAGCCAAAGCCAGGAGCCCAGAACCCCATCTGGGTTTTCCAGGTGTGTGGCAGAAGCCCACGCACTTGGGCCATGCTCAGCTGCCTCTCCCGGCGCTTGTGCAGGAATGCCAGCTCTGACATAGTAGAGCCACGTCTGCACTGCTAGTGTGTCATGGAACGCCCGTGTCTCAGTTGGCTGCTGAACCCATTGCACCACAGTGCCCACGCGCACTGCAATGACTTCACCATAGTTTTTTAGTTCCCTGATTTCTTAAACAGATTCCTTTTATCATGTAAGGAAAAGTTGTTCCTCCTTTATATTTATTTTCCTACTTATTACCAGATTTACCTGAAGCCTTGCATCTGATCTGAGGTGACTGTAGTCATTAGAAATTTGCAAGTTTGTTCTTTTGGCCTTTTGCTAAATCCCATTCTTGATGGCTGGTTTACTTACACTTTGCCTTCAGACAGCAAAGGCGCTCCAGGCGTACCTTTTATTTTCCCTACCCAGAGAGTCAGGCACTTCTGAAGAACCATTGCCCCTTTTATCTTTATTTGGGATTCCCCCCAAACTCGCACTCCTTGATGTGGCTCCTTTTCTTTTTTTTTTAAGATTTATTTTCATTACAAAGTCAGATATACAGAGAGGAGAGACAGAGAAGATCATCTTCCGTCCGATGATTCACTCCCCAAGTGAGCGCAACAGCCAGTGCTGCGCCGATCCAAAGCCAGGAGCCAAGAACTTCTTTGGTCTCCCACAAGGGTGTAGGGTCCCAAGGCTTTGGCCGTCCTCGACTAACCCTCCCAGGCCACAAGCAGGGAGCTGGATGGGAAGTGGAGCTGTCGGGATTAGAACCGGCGCCCGAAGCCAGGAGCCAGGAGCTTCTTCCAGGTCTCTCACATGGGTGCAGGGTCCCAAAGCCCCGGGCCGTCCTCGACTGCTTTCCCAGGCCACAAGCAGGGAGCTGGATGGGAAGTGGAGCAGCCGAGACAAACCAGTGTTCATATGGGATTCCAGCGTGCACAAGGCAGAGTTAGCCAATTGAGCCAATGTGCTGGGCCCAACTCTAATGCTTTTTCTAATAACAGAAACCTGGCTTTCATTAATTGCAATATTTTATTTATTTAACCTGAATATAAAAACCAAGGATCTTAGAATGGCTGACCTGTGAGAAATGTACCATGTAGAATAGTGTCTTTGTCTTACTTTTTGTTCTCATGTTGAGACACTGTCTTGAAGTGATTTAGGTCTTTATATTCAAAAATACATTAGTTCCCTTCTTTTCTGTCTTCTTTATTGCAATTATGTAATTTATTTGTAATCACATAATCCAGATTCATCTGTTAAGTCTGCATTCTGTCCACCCCCACACATCCTGCTTGATTCTTAAATTTACATACATTAAAATGCAGTCTTTCTGGTGTATAGTTGTGTGGGTTTTGACAGATGTCAAGTGTCTGCTAACACCACACTGCACAGGACATTTTTGTCACCCCTCCCCCCCAGAGTTCCCTTGTGCCTCAATGCCCCCCAGATTCTGGTTGCCACTTTATTTTTCCCTGTTACTGACAATCATGAATGCAATCCATACCACGTAGCCTGGTGCATAGTAGAATGTAGTTTTGTTTCATCCATGATAGGTAGAGTGGCTTTTTGTTTTGTTCTGTTTTTTGCTGTGTAGTATTCCATCATATGGATGCACTGTGGTTGATTCGTCTACTCATTAAAGATCATTTGGATTACTTTTTTATAGATCTTATAAACCTTTGTGTGCATGTTGGAGTATAACCCTAAACTTTTATTCTGCTGGGCACTTACTGTTTGGGTATGGAGCAACTTACTGGCTGATCTGTGTCTCTGTTACAGAGAAGTAGCCTCTAGTGTCCAAGTGACAGGAGTGTTCATTTATGCTGAGTTTGACACCAGAGTGGGCTGGTGGCCACTGCCAGCTGTCAGCCTCCATGCCGATGACCTAGCCATGGCCATGGTCAGCAGGACTCTTGTGACGCCTTAAGTCAGTGTCCTGAGTGTGAGACCCTTGCTGTGTGCGACCCTCTGAGCCTTCACATTGTATCACGGCATCAGCTGGTTTGCATTTCTGTCCTTGTTTCACAGAACTGTAGAGCTAACCGGAGTGCTTTTTCCTGGGCTCTGAGCTAAGTGGATAGTGAGAAGCCCCCAAATTTGTAGCCAGCTAGCAATCTGTGAACGTATAGCTGTGTCTGAGAAGAGAGCATTCTTGTGGAAGACTTCACCCTGCAGCTGCCTACTTTCCCCTAACTCTGGATGGTTGGTGTCAGACACACTGCCCTGAATCCCGTGGTAAGCATATGCTTCACTTTATGAGGTGCCACCAAAGTTGTGGCAAGTGGCACTGCCATTTTGCAGTTTCACCAGCAACATACCAGAATTCTAGGTAGTGGTTTTTAATTTTCAAATTTCTGGCCTGCAACATCTGGAACTTGTCCAGGCCAAAGCTGGGAGCTGGAACTCAGTCTGGATCTCCTAGCTGGGTGGAAGGAACCCCAATCCTTCAGCCATTAGCTGCTGCCTCCAGTGGCAGCCTCAAGGTGGAGCCAGCAGTGGAGCCAAGACTGGAACCCAGGCACTTGAACTGGGGATCCAGATGCTCTGGTTTTCATTACAGTCGTTTTGTAAATGTGTGGTGGTGTTTGATGTGTTAACATTTTGCTCAGGAGTTTTGCATATTCATGAGGGACATTGTTGTGTGATTTTATCATTTCCTCCTTTATACCTCTATTATGTGAATAGACATGAGAAGTGATCCATCTTGAGAAGAACGGTTAGATATTCTCTTTGGTTAATAATCTTTATGCCTGAAAATGGGCACATCTGCTGCTTTGACCCTACTATAACAACTGAGTGATTCTAATGAAGAGCTGTGCGTGGCTCAAGGTTTGCCCTTGTTAGGATTAAGCTCAGGGGTTTCTTGCTCTTAGAGAGCTCTGTTTCTTATTGGAAGGGGGTCTGCCGGATCACGGTGTCACCTGACCGAGTTTTGCATTGGCTTTGGGCTGTGCTGCAGAGGTCTCTGTGTGCTTGGGATGCTGGCAGGTTAGCCATCAGTCCTAGGCTGTGTCCCCGTGGGATGCTACTGGAGTCACCTGCTTCATTCACTTGCCCCTTCCCAGCTGTGTGTAGACCCAGTGGTACTTCCTCCCCTGGGACTTGCTCCCTGGGGGTTTCTTCCCAGTTGCCAGGCTTACGCTGCAGTGACTTCCCCCAGTGCCTCTCCGCTGCTTCTGCCACAGTGACCTGCGCACAAGTGCAGGCTCTGCCACTGTCTCCGGGCGCCCAGGGTTCCCCAGTGTTGCTGTCCAACCACCTTCCCCAGTCACCACTGACACCGCTGTGCTGGTATACGGCCGCGTGCAGCTGCCCCGGCGAGGCCACTGCCCAGGTCTCCTCTCCTCCAAGGGACTTGAGCCCCTTTCAGGTTTGGCCAGTCGATTGCTCTTCAACCTCAGCTTTCTATGGTTCAAAAACGAAACCTATTTGTGGTTAATCTGGCTCTCTTAAAGATATAGAATGTTCTATTAAAATGTTTTTAATAGAACATTTATTTCCTGTTAGGACATTTGCTTTTTAAAATATAGAACTGAAGGGTATTTTAAAGTATGTATGGTATAAAGTTTTCCCATCTCATTTCGTACTGATGTTCATTTCCTGGTTTATAGTTTGTATGTTAATCGTGGTCAATATCGTTTTCTTACTAGTGTAAAGTAACTTGGTTATTTATGTTGATCTTCAACCCAGAAATCTTGCTCCATTCTCTCATCAGTTTGTTTGGTTTTCCATTGTGTTGGATTATTTCTATAAATGACAGGGTCATTAGTTATACATGACAGTTCTGTTACTTAAAAGTTAATGACTGTGCATGTTACTTTGTGTATTTTTCCCAATTTCATGTCCAGCACAAAGTTTTAAGACACAAAAGTGTGAGGAGGAAGTTGATCCAGGTTCACTCCCAGGGAAAAACTTTATTTTACATGTTAGTAATGCTGGTGATTACAGATTCATTGTTGTCTATTTTAATTATAATAAGGAATTGCTATTTGCTATTATCCTATTCATTTTTATGAGCTGAATTTTATTTAAAAAGCTTTATAACATTGATCTCTGATTTTTTTTGTATTTGCTCCCCTAAAAATTATTTTCATGATTAATTTTGAAATGTTAGCCATTTTGCATATCCTGTTTGCATCTTATCTGTTACTCATCTCTTGTTTTCATAGCCTACCAGTGTTTGTTTAAAATATTTGTGTATCTTTTTATAGAACATGTTTTTCTTTTCCTTTTTCATATCCTGATCCAGCTGTGTCATCAATGTAATGTTGATCTTAGAAATTCAGACATATTCCCTGCTGTTTGCTACTTTGCAAACATCTGGGAAGTGATGGAGGAGTGATTTTCTCTTTGAATATCTGGAATATTCTACAAATCTGGGCCTGAATTTTTGCTTGTGGAATTTGTTCATTGGTTGATGTGATTTTCCAATTCTAGTTCAACTCACTTTACATTTTCATTTCTATGTTATGACATATTTGTGTTTTGGTAAATTG